CAAATAAAAACAAAGAAATTGAAGAAACACAATTTTTAATGATTTCAAGAAGCTAATTGTGGAATTGAAAAATAATTACAGTCGGATTAATTATAAAGTATACAGAAAGCTATACTTAACGACTAAAAATATCTTGGTCAGAAGCTACCTTTTTATTACATTCACTAGTCAGTCATGGTGTAAACGAAAATCAATTTTGTAAACCCGTAAGAGCAGCGCTTGTCTCAAGCTTGAAAATTATTAATCATATACAGGCCATGGTTTCCGAAAAGCGTGCGCAAACTGTTGTGTAATCGGGACGAAATTTGCCAACAGAAATAATACATGTTATCAGAGAACCAGAGAAAATGAATATTTAAGGAGAATGAGGTAATTCTAATTCCTCAGCCATAGTGTTAGCTAATTTAGGACCGGATTCATCAAGAACAGTTGTATTCATGACAAAACAGGATTCAGAAAATTTCATTAATGAACTTGACGAAATTTCCACTTTGAGGAAAACCGCTGGCAGCCCCAGGAAAAGGAATTTGTGTAATACACATTTAATAAACATTCCGTTGGTGCTGTTAATAAATTTAATAGTATAAAAATTAATAGCACGTATCAATTGAGAACAGTGATTATTATTAATAGTAACAGTAAATTTATAAAACAGGAAAAGTGTTCAATATTTTAGATTGTAGTGCTACAAAGCAAATTAATTATCTGAACATTTTCTGCTATTATGAATCAGAAAATAAAATAATAAAGTTTCATTAAGTTAATGAAATGTAATAATAATTCATATATAATTCGTTTTACAGAAATAATAACTTGTTTAGGGTTTTTTATAAAACTTGAATAGCATTTACCAAGGAAAATTGTTCGTGGGGATGATCAGAGAAATTTTGGTTAGCGTTTTACCATGTTCCTAAAATGCCTATACAATTTGACAACAATCAGTCAGTAGTTTCTAAGATTGTGAATCTAAATAAATATCGACACTGACGACAGATTATAAACAGACGAAAAATATACAGACAAGCAGGCAATAGATAGATGGAAAAGGTGTCCTATTTTTTCATTTTCTAGGAGCCATGAAACGTAGAAAAGTAACCGTTCGATGGATGGACCTTATTTTAGCTTACGGTCGGGAAATAAAATTGTTAAAATCTCATTTCATGATATCCTCAGATATCTGTACATCTGTAATTATTAGAAACTAAAAATGAAGTAAAATAGTACAACCGTAACTCATGTGGGAAAATAGTAATTTACGATACAAGTAACGTTATTAAGGTTTTTACATTACGAGGGAATATGTATGATGAACGAGGAGCGATAGCCCCGAGTTCTTTAAAATTCCCGGGTAATGTAAAACCTGACAACGTTACGTGCATCGTAACATGTTTTATTTTATCCCAAAATAACACCGCGTTGTTAAAAAAATAGTGGAAAAAAATTTTACCTACATGGGTCGATTCTGGCTATGCCGGTATCCAAGCATTTATTTTTGTTTATAATAATACTGATAAAATATGCATTATAATACTCAGAACATTTTGCTCGATTGTGGTTTAATTAATAATTTTATTCCTGTGATTCAAATCAAACAAATTTCTACGTGACATTCTTTCGATGAATAAACATAAATAAACTTCAGAATGCTACTACCTAGTGCTGAAGGGCATTTTATCACGTTAGTTATGTGATTTACATTGTCCGTACGCCACAGGGGCTGCGGGAGTGTTATTATGCCACATTTTTTATAATTTTTCAAGGAAGTAGGATTTGTTGAACGAAAGAAGTATTGAAATAACCTTTGACCAATTTTTAAATTTAGAAATATTGCTGTTCTATTTCAGTATAACATTTCCTGTGTCTTCAATAATTGGGGTATGGAGACGACCTCAGAAATAAATTTATAGAAATCATCTCTTCACATTTTCATGCTTATATTTACGTTATTATAAATCTCCTATATGTACAATCAAAACTCGATCTCTACACAATCAACATTGAGATACACAAAGATAATACGCCCACCACAGATATGATACTTCAACGAATGTCAGAAACTTTTTCGGAACATTTTTTTTTTAATATTCGCATGCTTTATTCTATACAAACTTCGTCGTCAGATAAACTCCGAAATATATTTTTGCTAAAAATAGATATGTATTTATTTTAGTACAGACATAAGTAATGCTTTATGTGATGGAGTATGGATATCTAAAGGCTGAGCGACAGCCAGACGGATAAATTCATACAAGCCACATAAAGCCACTTATACTCCGAATAAAACACAACGATTTATTTTTAGACGTCACATAGATTGAGATTTATTTTCAAACGATTATAATTTTTAAAGAAAAGGACTAGAATTATTAATTTATTACGTACAATAAAATTAGTAAAAATGAAATTACAGGATGTCAAAGATCATTTACCGTACTAAATGTTATTCGCTCCAATTATGTATAGAACATACATATCCTTACGTCCAAGTAGTTTTTTCTTAAAACATATTAACTGAAAGTGCACTCGGAATGTGATGAGGATCCATAGGGACGTAACCGCAGGAAAGCAAGTGGCATAGTGTTTCAAACTACTCAGTTAGAAAGAATGCACTGGTCACTGCTTAAGAAGGACCTCGACCAGATTGTTGGCAAGCTGTGGGAGTCACAATAGTTTTAAAGAGACGTGGCAGTGAAAATCGAGCACAATAGAGAACCCGATACCGCAAGCAGTCGTTTATCACAAATCATTTGCAAAGTCATCGAAATTTCCCAAGAAAATCGGTTTAATCGAAGAAATGAAAAATATTTCCACTTTTTGCTCACCTGTTATTTAAATTTTCGTGGCGTATAAGTTTCAGATGATCGAGAAAAAAAGTAGTCTAGCAGCCTTTGAAATTCAATGTTAAAAAAATATATTGGTGACACGAACGCGTTCCTTGTTCGTGGTAATCAGTGCAACATTTACGGCCAAATCACTATCAAATAAAGTGGCAAATAACTGCAGTTACAAAGTCATTATTTTTTTAATAAATTTCTTGGTTTACTGGACAACGTTTTTTTTTCGACGCCAATTGGCGTCATGGAAACAAAATTTATACCTTTTCAACAACGTTACATAAATCCCAATTTACAGGACGTTTGAAAACAAATGGTTTTATGACTTTGAATACTTTCTTTGCACATTTTTACCGTGTTTAATACATTTGTAGTGTTTCGTCTTTTTTTATTTTCTCATATAATTTTGTTTTCTTCACTTGTTATACACTATAATACGTACTGTTCATAAATTATCTCTCCTTCTACTTCTTAAAAATAATAATAATAATAAATAAACGTCTTATTACTACACTCAACTTACATAATTCAAAAATAATTTTAATCTTAACTTATCTCTAAGTTGAACATCGCACGCTCTCCTAAAAACGTACTCTTCAGTTTAGAATTATGTTTGATTTTTACAATAATCCGAAGTTCTTTACACTCTCCCTACAAATTGGTTGCAACGTTCCAACTCGGAACTAAAAAAGGAATATTTTTAACGATCACGAGATACTTTTCTAGTTATAAATTTCCATTGCAAAGCGGCATATCAGAATTTCCTCTTGAACATTTTGTGAATTTTACGAGGCTTTAAGTTGTTACTTTGTTTTCATTAAACATTTTTTGTTTATTTTCTCACGATATTTTTGATATTTTCTTAGTATGTACAAGTTCGCTAAGGAAAAATTTGTGACTCATTTTTTTCAAAAAATCGAACTTCAAACCAACTAGTAAATCCTTGAAAAAAAAATAATCAGCAAAAAAACTAATTGAATTTGAAAATGTCCATTGAATCGGAAAGTTAGTTAATTCAGGTTTATAAAAGAAAATTTCGCTTGTGTGACATTTATGAAAACTATTCAAACTATATATTTTATATAAATTTAGGAACTACGAGATCTCACTTAACGCCACAGTCAATAGAAAAAGATTTTTTTTAATTTTTGCTCATTATACTTTGTACAGAAAATCGTCCCCTTTTGCGGGTCTGTTGCTATCTGCACACAGCCATCCAATTATTTTTTTGTTATTAGTGATTTTTGTTTCTCTAATTTTAGGAGATAACTGCTTGTCCACTTAAATTAATCACCATTAGATAAAAAAGATGAAGTCATTTGAATTTCCACGATAGTAGTAAATGGAACTCGTCAATAATTCACAAATAATTACTTCTTAAATTATTAATAAATCGCTCAAAAATCAAACTCCATAAACAAACTTAATTGCTGTTTATGTTTTTCGACATAGATAAGACTGACGAACGTCTACCATTTATTCAAATAATAAAAAAAAAAAATTCAAAGTTTTGAAGTGATTAAAACTTAAAACTTGGGAAGTCCTTTAGAATAAAAAAAACTGAAAATATCAATAAAATGTTTGCATATGTTTTCTAAGTAAAGAAACTTTGCGTGAAGCGCTAATCTGTTTTCAAAACTTTTAAACTTAATTGAAAAACAGTTAGGTTTTAGTATTTTGCGTGATCTTGCACAATATTAACATACTATTATTTAAAACTTTGTATATTAACTATTTGTTTATGTTTATAACTATAGGTTAGTTTTTATACAATCTATCTTATTTTTGTTTTCTTACAATTCCTTTTGTCCAAGTATAATTGATATAATGTGTATAAAGTTTTATTTAGTTGGACTTAGGAATGACAAAGAGCGAACAAGTGAAGAATAGAAACCGACCAAACACAGCTAAAGTATTTAAAGCTTCTTTTGTAGAAAGTTGTTCCTCCTTAATTAATTTATATAATTACACCCTAATTCCGTGTAATCACGTACCCTCATTACTTAACACCCGCAAGCTAATGGCCGTTACGCATCGCCGTCCCCTAGTAAACCAAACTGCGCCCCACTCGTCACTTATTATATTATTTTGTATTAAAGATGGCGCCACTTTTCCACCATTCAAAAACTCGTAAAAAGTCGTCAAATCAAAAATCACTTCATCTACCTTCAGCGAAAAACCTCCATCCTCCCGGAAAACATCTCCCCACTTTCACCAGAACACCACTCAAACTGGCACTTTTCGTCCGGTCGCGCGCTCCGCGTGTGCTCCGGTCGACTCCGGGCGTCGTCGCGGCTCCGGTGTCCCGCGCTAAACTGCAGAACCCGGAGTTTGTTACCCGGAGTTCTTGTGTCTGACAACAGATTGGGCACATGCGCACTGATTTGCCTTGAGGTGCGTGTATATCATTATGAAATATAGTTCGTTTAAATATAATGCTTTCTTGTCTGTATTTTGCCTTACGTTTGTGGTTTCGTTTCGTGTTTTTCGGGGCCGGATTAATTCCGGGGCGGCGGCGGCGGAGGGCCGAATGACGCGCCGCCGACGGCTCGCGTTTATTAAAATTCAAATTACGCCAGAGGATGTTATCGAATTCATTGGGCTAATAAAGCTGGGACAGGACGACATGCGATTGTGGCGGCGCTTGCATGTTCGATTGAATAAAAAGGGGCGGTTTGGGGAAAAGAGGGACGTTTCGCAGTCAATTTGGGGAATTTTAAAGTGTACATGACGCATGTGGTGATTTTTAAAGTACGGGAGGAATATAAAATTTTTCATCTGGTTTGGCTTTGGAGTTGTGGTTGTGATAAATGTGTGCGTGTGGTACTTCACGCGCCTGAATTTACAGTTTTACTACGTGTCTACAGTACCAATAAATGACAGCATAAACAAGGAAATATTCATAATTGCCTCATTATTTACAGATATTTTCATAGCGGTTTGGAGCCCGAAGATCTAAGAAACCCAGACGATTTAAACTTGAAGAAACCTTGACGATGATACGAAACCCTCAAAATACTAAATGTCAAAAAATGGCAACATATCACAAGACGATTAAAATTTAATATTTCTTTGTTTCTCATGACTATATCATGGAAACCTGGCCAAAATTCTAAAATTGTTTTTGTGACTTCACTATCACTATAGTCTTTGCCATTTCTATTGAAACACCACTTGTTGATCGTAAATTTGGCAACGTTCATATTCACACAATTTTCTAACTAAAAGTCGTTGTCAATCAACCGAAAGCTGTTACCAATTGCAAAATTTTAAGCAAAATCAACAGGTGGTGTTTCAACAGAAATGGCAAAGACTTTAGTTGTATGTTTCGAACTGGACGACATTGTTTCTATAGCGTTTTCCTTTTCATTGGGTGGTTCTAGAAGACCTAAAACCATTGATTTTTTTTGAGTTGGCAAAACATTGTTGATGCCAGAATTTTCGAAAAATCCTTTAAAATGAATGATCCTCCTCTAACTCGATGTCATAATTTTCGATTACCTCTGTTACCCTATAGGAACTAATAGCCACATCTCCTAACAAATTAACTGCTGGTGATGATCTAGTCATCAGTTTCTTGATTCGCGAATGTAAATCTCTTTTTACGACACCTTTTTCAGTCTTAATTAATTTAGCATTACGCACAAGAATGGAAAAAGGCTAGAATTATTTCAGTTTTGAAAAAAAGGTAGTTCACAACTCTCAAAGTCTTATCAGTGTTTTCACAAAATGTTAGAGGAATCCTGGATGATCACGGACAAGGTGATGTTATTTATACGGATTTTTCCCAAGCACTCGATTTCAAAAATTTGATAATACTAGAGTTCCTCAAGGCTCCAATTCTGGACCTATTCTTTTCAACATCTTTATGAATGATTTACTATTGTCTCTTGGATATCAGGGAGAAGCATAAAAATTGTCATGTCATTATATTAACTTCGCCTGTAACAGACTATGCAAACAAATCTAGGAAGCCGATTTTAACCTACTTCAAATTTTCGTATCGATTTGAAACTTTGCAAAGGTGTGTAATTTGGATGACAATACAAGAATTTGGTACTATCGAGCAGTGGAAGTTCACTCTACTCTTTAAATTTTGCCATAAGTCACAAAATTTGAGTGCATCTTTTTAGTTTTTTTTTAAGTATAATTATTATGTATCCAAATCGTTGGATACAAATTACAATATTCATATTATCAGTCTTTGGAAAAAAAGACAGTTATAAAGGATCTTGACATAATTTTGGATTAGGCTTAGTGTTACAATGAGTGTTAGAAATATTTTAGTAAAATTGATCACGTTAGGTACTTTTGCACTAAGTAAGACTGAACATTCTTGATTAATGTTGTGATGTTGGGAAACATTCGCCAATTTATGAAATGTGTTCTAAATACAATCAAGGTGACAAGAACTTTGATTTAATTATCTAATTAAATCTTTATTCTTACATTTTTTTCTAAGTCTGCCCATTGGGCCAAGTAGTAGTTATAGCTACTGTAACGGGAGTTAGTCGATCTCTCACTTACCTGTGGTGATCTGTAGACCAACCTATTTAATAATAATGATAATAATAATAATTAATATGGTTTTCTATTTATATGTATCAGCAGGTGTTATACTAGATAAGATACAAAGAAAATTTTTAAAATCTCTTTCATATGAATTACAATGCCTTCCACAATAACATCTAAAACAACTAAAGAATGCACTATAATTAAATTTTACGCTCATCGATCTGCCCCCTTTTCGCTTTAATGACTGCAGCGCATAATCTAGACATTCCATTTAAAAGTTTTTCTAGGGTGGGTCCATTTATTTTTTCCTATTCTTCCTACAGAAATACCCTAAGAATCCTAAGATGACCCTTTGACGTGGGACAATGCTCGCGTATTTTCCAGTCTACCTCATCCCATAATAATTCTATTGAGTTGAAGTCTGGCGATTAGGGTGGCAAAAACCACGATTTTTAATTTTTTTTTGACTTTGCAGTTATTCTAAACAATTTTTGCACAACTCTTGAGGTACGCTGAAGATCATTATCTTGTTGCAAAATAAATCCTTCTTTAATTATCCTTATCCCAGAAACTAAAACATATCTTTCCAAAATTGTTTTGTATTGTTCTTTTTTTTTAATTCGTTCAATTTTCACTACTCCAACTCTGCTACCACCCAAACAGCTCCAAACCATGACGGAAAAATTTAGAAAAAATAAAAATTTGGATTTATCTACCCCCAGTAAAGTTTCCTTTACCAGCAGACCACCCGCCGCATATCTCGTGTTGGCGGCATCCTCTATTGCGAATAAACAGTCATGTGAAATTGTCAATCTAGACTTGGTCCGAACTCGATATTTTTGATTTTTTTTTTCACATTTGACATTTTATTTTATTTGTGCTAGGATACATAGTAAGTATACTTAAATATAAACATACTCTAAGAACCTGCATAGAAAGACTAAGAGACAAATTACGGAGTAAGAAGATATTTCTAGATAGCTTTTCGGCAAGCTGATCACCATGATTATTCCACGACAATTCAAAATCCATGAATACGCCAAGATATTTGACACATTCTACAAAACGTTCATCTTTTTGTATATGTTTTAGTGTAAATAACATTTCCGTAGTTTTTTTTACTGTTAATGGCTAATCTATTCGCAGTGATTCAATACTCGTGATAATTTGCTGTTTTTTTAAATTGTGTCTCCTCCCGGTGAGTCTGCAAAACTTACAGCCGTATCATCCGCGTACATCATAACATCAAGATTTTTTAAACAATAGGGCTAATCGTTTATATACAACAAAAACAGAATGGGACCCAATATGGAACCCTGCGACACACCATAAGTAATAACTAATAATGGATTCATCAGAAAATGATCCGCCTACTTTAACACACTGAGTACGGTTTGTTAGATATGAACAATAAGCTTCGTAGTAAGCGGATGAAAATTTTAATAAAGTAGCTTTCTTATTAAGATGTGAGAGACGCAATCAAACGCTTTACAAAGATCCAGAAAAAAAGCATTGTATGATTATTTTTGTTCAAAAGCTTGTGATACTTAATTAACAAAATTAAGGATAGCTGCAGAAGTTAAAGAGCCTTTTCGAAATCCATAGTGATTTGGAACAAGTATTTTCTCGTTTTCTAAAAATTGTAATATGTGTTTCAATAATATTTTCTCAAAAACTATAGGTAGCAGAAATATTGGTCTATAATTATTCTCGTCATTAATATCTCCCTTCTTGTATACTGGTATAACGAGAGGTCTTTTAAGACAATCTGGAAATATATGCTCTTTAATACATATTGATTAATTACTATAGTGAGTGGCGATATCAATGCATTTTTAACTCTCTTTAAAACAGAAACAGTAAATCCATACAGATCTTTCGAATGATTATTGCGGAGATTTATTGATTGGGGCTCTAACTTCCACCTCAGAAACTTCACCGAAAATGAGAAACATATTGCTGTGCTGTTTGATACAATTGATATCAGTAATTAGATCGAATATTGGCAAAGGTTTACTATATTGGTTGCTACATTAGAAAAATTTTCAATACACTTGGTTTAATTTTACTACCGAATTCAATAAATGCAAACTTAATGAAACAAGGGTACATCGTGAATCGAATTCCCCGACACATAAATACACAAAAGACAGGTTAAATATGGTCAAAAACACAAAATATCATTCGGTACGTACGTCGCTTTGAGAGGTACGTCCCAGAATCAATGTTCCAAAACTGGAGTCATAGACAGACATAACACATAACACAAAATCAGAATACTCCCCATTACTATGTTAGAATTCCAAATGGAAATCTATTTAATTTAAATCATAATAATAATAATTTAGGAAGAACCATCCATCCCTTGAGACATTTCACAATTTAAAATAGTATAATATTGATGTTTTTTTTTTTGTCATACAAGAAAATAAAATGTATGATTTCTAGAGATTTGGTGTAATTAAATAACAATTTTATCGCTTTTAACAAGTTCGAGTGGGTTCCGGGAAATCCGGCAGCTGCCCCGTCAACGCTAGTCTAAACAATAAATGACGCAATGTGTCGAATTTCTGAACGTGGCGTCTCGCCGCCCTCGTAATACGTGAGATTGACGAATTATCAATAATTAAGAATCATGTTCAACTTTATTTACACATGGGGGTAACGATGGTGTCCCTTTAATCTACTGCCAATTTGTGCTTGGGTCAAATTTTACAAGTAAAATCAAACGTACAAATCTCAAACACATGTGACTTCAACACTGTGGACTTGCATCCTCACACCACCACTGCTGTATATTTAAAAATGATTCAAAGTATACTCTTCAGAGAATCATTCAACTTTGGTATTTGACTTTTTCTTCTATTTCTAATAGTGAGATAGATATTGACGACCGCGCGCTTAGTGACTCACGCTGTATACAAAAATTACCCTACCGTGTTACCACATTTCGTGATTAGTATATGTTAAAATTTATAAGCCTACAAAAGTCATCATTAATCGTTAATAATGGTACAAATATCAATCGGGACAACATTCAAGTGTTTACGAGTTGCCATTAAAACACTTTAAAACTTTAAAGTTGTTTACCTATATCAGAAACCTCATTAACATTGACATTTGAATTTGACAATGTTTCCATAAATGCAAAAATATCACATCCCTTTCAACAAATAGAAGTTAAAACCTCACTAGCTTTCGCCCTCGTACCTCGTACCACGTTTTAATAGTAAGTATATTTTTTTAAAACGATGAAACATTTTTCGATCGACTTTGACTTTAATTACTTTTTCAAACTTCAGATATGTTTAAAATTAGAAAAAGCGCTTTGATGTGCTTTGATACATACGATAGTTTTCTGTAATCAAAACTCTATGATCTACAGGTAATTTTCCGGACTCGGCGGAGTTCCAAATACAACAATTTATGCAACAGAGAGTTTCAGTTTCACAATGTTCCTATGAACATCTGGTTTTCGAAGTGAACATTATTGTTTCGATAAGTGATTAAAATCGCAGCAGTTAAAACACTTTTGGACCTCCTCGACATCATAAACAGTATTAAAGACCAACAATTAGGTTACAACTAAAGAACGGATTTATATGCACAAATACAACTTTTCTTTATACAGGGTGAGTATTATAATAACGGGACCCTGACCAAATTTCAATGCAACACAAAATACATATCTCATATGTAACTCGTTTTATATTTTATTTTTCTAAAATGTACAAACATAGTTACCTAGTAGTTAATTTTGACTTCCGCAATAATTCTATTTGTCAATTTTGAGCTCCGATAAGTTTTTAGTTTTCGCGATAAGATGAGGGTTAATACACGAACGATGAAAAGCTTTTTGGAGATTGCGGAAAAAATGCCGTTGCAGCAGCAAATCTCTACGAAAGAAGATATCCCGATAGCCGACGAAATCTTTAAATGTTTAGAAAAAACGTTAAGACAAAATTGGCCGAAAGAACAAAAAATAAAGAACTTACCGCTACTGGTGTAGAAAATAAAATTCGTGTAATTGAAGCCGTAGATAATGACCCGCAGGTGAGCTAGAGATTTATAGCACGACAGTTAGGAATACCCCAATCTACCGTTTCAAAAATTTTGAAAGCCATTAAATTCTACCCTTACCATGTGACATTGGTACAAGATCTAAATGAAGAAAACTTTCCCAGAAGAATACAGTTTTTCCATTTTATGCAACTTCAACTAGAGTTAGACAACAATTTTTTATTCAAAGTTTTGTTCGGCGATCAAGCAAGATTTGGCAATAAGTGATGAGACGTTTGCAAAGAAGTGGATTGGCAGAGGCAGTGTGAATGCATGGCCCCCTCGTATTTCCGATTTAACACCTTTAAATTTTTCTTCTTCTGGGGGGTTGTAAAAGAACAAGTTCACCAAAGTCCTATTCGTAATTGTGCGGATTTAAAAACCAGAATTAGAAATGCATGTGCTGCAATAACTCCTGAAACACTTACTCGCGTCCGGTTGTCTTGCTTAAATCACAAGGAAATGTGTGTTGCGCACGAAGGAAGGCATTTTGAACAGTACTTAAGCTAGTTAAATTTAAATTTATTTAATTGTTCCATTTATTTGTTATATTTATTTGAATTAATGTGTTTGTGTTTTCTTAATATTTCATTTGTGAAATCATGGTCAACTCCATTAATCTTGAAAGAGATGTGGCCATTCCAATCGGCAATTATGAATTGGCCATCCAAACAATTGCAAATGTCCGTATAGTGATGTCATCTGACAGTGAATGTGACAGTTATCAGAGTGAAATTTGTCACCCAATTTTTTAGTAATCTACCGTTGAACATCGTCCATGTAATTTTGAAATACCATTTGATCCTTGGAAATTCAAAAAATGGTTCATTGGTCTTGTCACACAAATACCACTTCTAAAATTTTGACGTTTTTTTGCAATTGTCGCTCACATTAGCATAAAAAAATCAATGTCAGTAAATACAGAGATCTATAATTAAAAATTAATACACACAAGGATCACTAGAATTCGCTTTTTAGCGGTCACTCTATGGCATACTTTCCGTGCTAGTCAAAAAATGTCGAAAGGAACGGCCATTTATCTCTTTAGAGATTAATGGAGTTGGCCTTGGTGAAATTTTGATTGACGTCTTTCAGATACAGTGACAACGACTAAGGAGAGTACCTACGTTGATCCTAAAAACGTATATGTTTATTTTCGAATCTAGCAATAACTGATAGATGTATGTTGTGTTGCATTGAAAATTGGTCAGGGTCCCGTTATTATATTATCAAGAAGTAACGTCAAATTCGGCTGCGGGTAGACGTGTGTTTCTGCTTTACACTTTGAAACAAACTAAATTGTTGTACATTATTAATTATAAAAGCCAAAATATAAACAACATGACGGGTACACGCTCTAAAAATAATACCAGTGAATGTGTCATGATGAGTGCAGCTGATCTAGAAAAACTAATGACGAAAGTGGTGACTGAATCAGTCGAGGGATTAATACATAAGATTTCGACACTGGAAGATGAAATTCAGCAACTCAGAGATCAATTGGCACAAAAATCTGTGATTCATTCAACCAATGAATCCAGGGCAGAATTGGAACCCAGGAATACAAGCAGTGACATTGAGGAGGAAATCGAAAATAATCTCAACTCGTCAACGGATACTGTTGTCAATGCCAAGGTGAGTGACAAAAAGAAGACTCGCCCAAAAAAGAAGGTGCCGCAGGTAACTAATCAAGTTCAAAACAAACATAAGACGATAAGAGGCTGTAACGAATCGGATACATTTTCTGCGGTGGTTTCTCGGGCATGGGTATATGTAGGCAGAGCTCGCAAAACCACCACTTGTGACGAAGTTCGAAAGTTCCTTGAAGGAAAATATAATGACCAAAATTTTGTGGTAGAAGCCCTACCGAGTAATGAAAACGCCATAAGTGCTTCATTCAAGGTAGGTGCCACGGCCTCTCTACTCGACGAATTGTATAAGCCTGAAAACTGGCCGCATAATATTTTGGTCAAGAGGTTCAAATTTTTTCGTGGAAGGCAAGGCAATTTTGTCGAAAAAAAGTAATTTAAGACTACTATTCTTCAATGCACAGTCGATCAGGAATAAAATTGACGAATTAGAAGTGATGCTAAATGATGGAAACGAGAGTTACGGGATTATTGGCCTAAGTGAACACTGGCTCTTACCATATGAAAGTGACGAGTTAGCCATTGCTAACTACAGAGTGAGTGCTCATTTCTCTAGAGCCAAAGGATATGGTGGTTCAATGCTTTTGACGCGGAACAATATTGACTTCCAAAAGGTAGCCGACATAGACAAGCTTTCTGTAGAAAAAGTGTGTGAAGTGTCAGCCATCAGTGTACCTTCGCTGAATGTGGTGGTTGTATCAGTCTACAGAAGTCCATCTAGTGATTTCCAACTATTCCTGTGCACTTTCTGTGATATAGTTAATCAAATTAGATCAAAGGATGTTAATGTAGTTATTGGAGGAGACTTTAATGTTGCTTTCTCCCCTTTAGATAAAAACGGGTCTGATTTGTGTAATATAATGTTAAGTTTCGGGCTATATTCTACTGTTACTTTTCCCACGCGTCATAAAAGATGTATCGATAATGTATTCACCAACTTAGATTTGGATATATACGACGTAACTCCATTCATTTCCTGTATGTCAGACCACACTGGGATAGTCTTTACCTTAAAAAATATAACACGTGCCAACAACCAGCTGCATAATAAGAACATTCGACTTGTACAACCGATCTCTAATAAAGGTAAATTCATATTTTTTAAGAAATTAGAATCAGTTGATTGGTCTTTTGTCGAATATAATGACATAGGTATAGAGAATAACTTCAGAATCTTTATTGAAACCATCCAACATTTCATCAACAGCTCTTTTCCAAAAATCAAACCCAGCAGTGGGAATCCAAAACAATCTAGAATCAGATGGTTCAATAAAGACTTAGTTAAGATGAGAGATACTTTAACATTTCTAGATAGTTTTTACAAATGTACCATGCGTGATGAATGCAGGATTTATAGAAATATGTACAGGAACAAATATCGCAAAGAACTACATATAGCGAAGCAAAAAGCTAACTGTGATTACATTAAAAGGGCGGGCAATAAGATGAAGGCGATGTGGGATGTTATAAATTCAAAAAGACCTAAAACATCTAAAGCTAGACTGAATTCAAATCTAGCTGCCAATGATCTAAATGACTTTTTCGTCAATATCCCAGTTGCGCTCATCAATAAGCTGCCGCCTGCATCCTATGATCCACTTAATTTTTGTTTAAATGTTAATGGAAATAATGTTGACTATTTCCATTTTGCTGAGGTATCTACGTGCCACGTTAGGGACATCATTAATAACATGAAATCCAGTCGAGCTAGGGACGTTTATGGTATGAGTGCTGACTTGATAAAGAGCGTGAAAGAAATTTTAATTAATCCGCTAACGAAACTAATCAATAGGTGCATAGTACAAAATGCATTTCCTGAATGTTTAAAAAAGACAGTTGTCATTCCTGTTTTTAAAAAAGGGGACGCTTCGGATCCAAATAACTACAGACCCATTTCATTGGTTCCCATATTTTCAAAAATATTGGAAAAAGTACTAGCTCTTCAATTGATAGAACATTTCAAGCGTCACAATTTGCTATGTAAGCAACAATTTGGGTTTAGAAAAGAAAAAAGCACGTTAGATGCCATGCTATTTTTATTGGACAACATCATAGAAGCTTATAACAATGACGAATACTTGCTAGCTAGCTTCCTTGACTTATCAAAGGCGTTCGACTGTGTTAATCACAGTACGCTAATTCGAAAATTATATGTTTATAATATCCATCCTTCAGCCATTAGTATCATAACATCTTTTCTTAAAAATCGTTCCCAACGAGTCACTACTGAAAATTCTGATTCTGATTTTTTACCAATAAATAGTGGGGTGCCTCAAGGGTCTATCCTAGGTCCATTCTTATTTCTAGTTTTTGTGAATGATTTGCCTGCTTCTTTGAACAACGAAGGGACCGTACTATTCGCGGATGATACGACCATTACCAACAGAGGAAATGACATCAAAGATGTGGTACAGAACAATATTTCAACTCAGAGATTGGCCTTTGATTGGCTTCATAGCAATGGACTGGCTATAAATCAAAGCAAGTGTGTGCAAATTATGTTTACTCTCAAACATGTTCCTGATGCAAGCTTGCTGAACATGAAAATATACGAATTCACCAATTTTCTCGGGGTCACCTTTGACTGTCAACTGTTATGGAAACAACATGGTGCCCAACTGTGTAATAAGTTATGTAAGAATACTTTTATCATTCGCAATTTGGTAAATTCAGTGGACGAGGGAACTATACGTTCATCTTACATGGCATTATTTCAATCGCACTTGCTGTATGGCTTGTTACTTTGGGGGCACGCGAGTATTCGTCATGAAGTGTTTGCGCTCCAGAGACGTGTAGTTCGAATAATGTGTGGTCTCAGATTCAGGGATGATTGCAGAGATGCATTTAAAAAACTCAAAATCATGACGTTGCCTAGTTTATTTATTTATCAATGTCTTTTGTACATTAGAAAACACATCAAAGAGTTCAATGCTCACACTGATATCCATCACCATGATACAAGGAACAAAGATAAAATTTATTTGGAAGCCGCGAGATTAACAAGGACACAGGTGGCACATAAATACCATGCAGTTCACTTCTATAATGTGTTACCTACTAAGTATAAAAATCTGGACTTAAATAAATTTAAATTCTTTACTAAAGATTTGCTGTGCAATGGAGCCTTCTACTCTTTTGAGGAATTTTTTAGCTATTTCAGTATGTAAAATGTTTTGTTATTTTAATGTGTGAAATTGTGATAGTTATTTTCACTATGTATAAAACTGTATTTATTTTTGACGTTTGCAAACTTATTACATGTATTTGTAATGTGAAGTGAAGCATGAAAATAAATTATTATTATTATTATTATTATTATTATTATTATTATAACACTCACCCTGTATATTTGCACCCTCAGATGTGACTTTATCACTAGCTGGGTTAAATATTTTGGTTGCAACTTATTGCATGTACTCCAAAAATTGAGCTTTTTTCTGGATTTGCCGTAAATTAAAATCATATCAGTTTTTTCGTAATTAAATTCATTTTAGTCTCCGATAATAATAAACGATATTCAAAAGTTAGGTAATAGACGTGAGAACTTAGATGACTAAATTAGGTTCAACATTTTTTTATTAAAAAAAAATCTCGGAAAATGTATTTTGGATTGCATCTTTGGCTTATAGAGACTGATATGATCTCTATACTGTGGTTAGACTCTATATTATTCACAAATTATCGTGCACAATGTAGATTTGACAGTTTGATTAATTCTTTTTTCAATTAAGTAAGGTGACCAGTTTTAGCCCCCAATCTGATATCACAGTTATTTTTAAACACTATATTTCACTCACTTAACTAAACGTCTTGCTAAATTTCTGAATTTCTCAGCCATAAATACAATGACATACAGTAATCATTTGATCTTCATGATATATTATAGCAGAAGGTTAGTTGGAATAAGATTACTGATGCTGATGTGTTTGGTACCAATTTCTGCGGTAGTGTTGCTATCGACTAGACAACCTGATTTTTCTGAAGATTAAGGTATTATTAATAAGAGATTTACCACCAAAATGAGTCACTAGGTGGCCACATATTTACCTTTACCGTTGTTTAACTTTTTAAATAAGACGACCACAGAAAATATTTTTGTTGACAGCGCCAGCTAGACTAGACTAATGCCTTTTTGTCTTATCAGTGTTTTTTTTCATGTTAGATGTGGTAGAACTTTTGTTGAAGTTTTTTCAAATTATACTCAGACGACCTATCAAAACAAGAAATGTGCGTCTGGACATTTCTAGTGGCGACGTTATTCTAACACGCATTTCCTAGGTTCTGTATAGGCTGAGCAGAGTGATCCCTCTCCGTTGTCGTGTTTAAAACAACAGCATCACTGCGCCGTTGAGACCTAGAGACTCTTTCCGTTCTGAGCAGTCGAGTTGAGACGGCTCCAGTAGCATGTACTGTGCCGAGACCCCGAAAACCGCGACCGCCGAACCGACTTCCCCGTCCGGGAGCAATCCAGGAGCAGTCCGACCCTCTTCACCGACTGCCGTTGGATTGTATTTATTTTTGGAATTCTGTTTTAGTTATCTTTTTTACTTCGTTTTCTTAGTTTATCATTAGAGAGCGGATTTCTAGGTTTAATGCTTTTTGTGAAAAATGTAAGCACTTCAAAACTTTTTTATATCTGTAACTATGATACAATTTGGAGTCATTTGACACATTTTTTTTATGCTTATTTGCTTTTTTTTCAATTTTATGCATATTAAAACTTATATGATTGTTTAATGCTTTTTTCGACGAATATGAGTTTTAATGCATGTTTTGTTCAAATGCCGGCCTTGTCCGGATGACAAATACTTGTTAGTTAGGCGTATCGTATCGTATGCATTTTACCTGGACTTGACCATTGAAGTACACTTACTCAAGACTCTTTCTGTGAATAGGTTCCGGTCGTTTGGGTAATAAAATTTTATTATAGGATTGGAAAAATACTCCATAGATTTTATGACTTTAAATCCTTACTTCCTTTGATAATGAATTAAAGCTTTTAACCAGATGTTCTTTTTCGGCATTTTGCGGCAAGACCGTTGAAGATTTTCTAGAAAAAAGGATTATTGTACCCAACTACCTACCTTAAAATTTTTCTAATGGAAACTTTTAATTAAATGAACCGTTTATTTCACAACCATCAGTCTATCGCATCTGTCGTAGTATAGTGTTATACGTGGTTCCCCCTTGTTACATGTTGAGTTCTTTTTGGTAATATTACTAATATTTTAAAAGAATGCCGAAAGTAAAATCGACGCCGGATGAGTGGATAAGGGATTTTCCAGAATTAAAATTAGAAAACAACAAAATATTCTGCAGAGCTTGTGTGAAAACCGTAAGCCAACTAATTTTTTTTTTATCTATTTTCCTTTGTTAATCCTGTATATGTACGTTGTTTTAGATTCAAAATGATAAAAAATATAACGTGACGCAACATGTCAGAACGACTCTTCATGTAGAAAGGAAGAAAATGTTTGAAGTTTCTAAAATTAAACAGCAGACCATAAATGAATCTATTGCATCTACTTCTACAACATATGAACAGTTTCAGTTTAATTTCGATTTATGTAAAATGATGATCCAGTCCAATATACCTTTATAAAAATTGGAGAAAGGCTCTCTTCAAAAATTCTTTGAAAAACACTGCAATCGACATATTCCGGTTGAAAGTACTCTCCGAAAAAATTATGTAGGCCCAGTGTTTCAGCAAGTTTACAACGAAATTAAACATCGCATTGGAGATAATTTATTTATGGTTCACTGTCGATGAAACAACCGATAGTTGTGGAAGATACGTGGCAAGTTTAAATGTTGGAATCTTAAATGAAAATCTCCCTAGTCGAGGGTATGCAGTAAGTTTGAAAATGTTAGATAAAACAAATGGCAATACGATTTAGTCCAGTCAAATTAGCGATCAACCTCGGAATGAGAGATAATAAGCTGAATTTTCGTATATACCTTCATTTTAGCGTTCTAAAAGTTGTCTCAAAAGTCTCATAAAATCTCGTGTCTGCGTCGTAAGTTATTCAAGGTCAAAGGTGAAGAAAAACAGTTTTTTGCGATTATCTCGGTTTCTATTGCTCCAATGATGTTAACATCTATTATCGTAATTGTAAAGCACAAAATTTGGGACAAATTTTATTTGAAAGATTTTTTCATGCGCTCAATGGTTTTTGAGATAGAGGGCAGTGAGCGCGCAGCGCTCATCCATACGTACTGGAATCAACCGTGAATATCTATGAATACTACCTTTAATTTTGAATAATTTGTATTATTTATCAGTTAATACATTGCATTTAATAACATTTTACATATTTTCAATACATTCATTTAATGATAATGATACTTACCTACTTTGGGGAATTAAAAACTCTTTAAATTAAATACTTATTGTATGTGTGTCTTAATTTATTGAAAGTAGATTTTAAGTAGAAAAATAATTAAGTACTTTATCTTTCAAATGTGTAAGTTTTTATATCTTAGATAATATATTATACTTGTTATATTATTATATATATATCTAAAAGTTACATTAATTTTTTCAAAGTAAAAATTTAAGGAAGTAAAACGAGTTAATGTATTTTAATTTTATCTTTGTTCAGTACCTGTACATTTCTTACGATTGAAATTGAATTGCAGTGAAAATCTAGAAATCTTTAATAATTTAAAGAACAAAAGTATTAATTTTCTTCTTCTTCACCGTCATCTTCTGGACGTTCGGGAATTTCTGTTTCATCGTCATCATCTTCGGTGCCCTGAATCGTTGTTTCCAGACCTTCCAGTTATAATCATGATAGAAAAATAAGTATTTAAAACCTTACACATTTTAAAGATATAAATAAATTGAGATATACAATAAATATTTCATTAAATGCGTTTTTAATTACACAAAGTAGGTAAGTATTATTCAATGAATATGTTGAAAATATGTAAAATGTTTAAATACAATGTATTAATTGATAAATAATACAAATTTTTCAAAATTCAAGGTAGTATTCATAGATATTCACGGTTGATTGCATTACAGTACATATGGATGAGCGCTGCGCGCGCACTGCCCTCTATCTCAAAAACGATTGAGCGCATGAAAAAATGTTTCAAATAAAATTTGTCCCAAATTTTGTGCTCTACAATTATGATAATAGATGTTAACATCACTGGAGCAATAGAAACCGAGATAATCACAAAAAACAGTTTTTCTTCATCTTTGACCTTGAATAACTTACGACGCAGACACGAGATTTTATGAGACTTTTGACACAACTTTTAAAACGCCAAAATTAAGGTATATCCAAAAATTCAGCTTATTATCTCTCATTCCGAGATTGATCCCTTTTTTATCCTAAAATGACTGGACTAATTACCGGATTTGTAAATGACAGTCTTACGTCACTTTTTTTGCCAAATGTCGTACCGGCGAATAAAATTTTATTGATGATTTCGGATGCAACTCGTTATATATTGAAAGCAGGGAATAATCTAAAAATATTGTACCCCAATTTAATTCACTCTACTTGCATTGCCGACGGTTTAAACAGAGTGGCTGAAGGAATACGTTTGCAGTTTCCTACTGTTAATAAATTAGTGGCAAATGGTAAAAAGATTTTTGTTAAAGCCCCACTAAGAGTGCAACATTTTTAGGAAAAATTTCCAAACATACCATTGCCCCCAGAGCCGATTATAACAAGGTGGGGAACATGGTTACAGGCCACATTTTATTATGACAAATATATCAAAGAATTTGAGGAAGTAGTTACGGAGTTTAGCGAAGATTCTTCTCAATCGATTAAAGGTTACATAAATATTTTGGAAAACAAAGATTTGCGACAAGATCTAGCTTTTCTAAGAAGCCATTATCAATTCGTATGTGAGGTAATAGAAAAGTTAGAAAAACCCAACATGTTGTTGGTAAATACCATAAACTTAGTGAAAAAATTTAAACAACAAGCAAACGCAGTAAGGGGTGATATTGGTACTAGAGTATCTCAAAAACTTGACGAAGTATTAAATAAAAATGCAGGTTTCGGTGTTCTTTCCGACGTTGCTCGTGTTTTACAAGGCCAGAAGGTGTAAAATTTGGAGTTAGATTCAACATTAGTTGCAAAATTCAAATTTGCGCCAACGAGTCTGGATGTTGAACGCACATTCTCCAATTTTAAACACATTTTAAATGATCGGCGAAAAAATTTTACAGTGGACAACTTGGAACATATTACAATCATAAATTGTTTTAAAGAAAACTGAAATACGTGTGTAAAATATAAAGTCTAGGATTATTGTAATAATATTTTATCGAAAGTTCTAAGAAGTGTTGTTCTTTGATTTGTAATATGATTATATTTTTAATGCTTTTTTGCTTAAAATAAAACTTTTTTATTGAAAATATTATGCTTATTTAAGCGCTTATTCTTAATTTTTTTGTGCTTATAAATCCGCTCTCTATTTATCATTATCAGTTACATCTCAGAATAAAATTTGGAGACTCCCCTTTCGACAGAAAGATGTAATAACAATTTTAGCAACAAGTTTTAAGTACCTATTTCTTTTTCTTCATGATGGCTACGTCCTGAGTCTCAACACGTTGCGTTTGAATGATAAAGTAAGCGCTGTATGGTGAACGAGGCAAAACATCTTGTCTGAGTATTTTTTGTCTAGAGTTGCCGGCAACAAACTGAGGTCACATTTTCCAATAAAGATTTAACTAATAATTTACTAAATTAAAATAATTTATTTTTTAGGTGGCCATTACAAATTTAGTGGTTTTACGTCCCCAGTCACGTCCATGAAATATCACTTTCTTGTACTGAAATGTCAAAATTCCTTTTTTTGGACTCACTTGTCACTTTTTTGTATTCAGATATCGCATACGTACTTTTGCACCTTGGCCTTGTGCTTTTGAGCAACATTTTTTGCAATACTTACATAATCGGTTATTTTACTGTATGGCCACCAAAAATGTTGGGTGTACCTCGACCCAGGTCAAGTCGAGTTCTTCTTTATCGCCCTGATACACAAATAACTATTTTAAAAGAGATAATAGGTAATGATTATTACCACGAAACCTGGAACTTGGTCCTAAAAGTGTTCCCAGGATTTCAAAAAGACCATAAGCCGCAGTCAGCAGATTAAATCAGTCCATAACTATATATTAATTTCTGTCACATCCAGTTTAATTAATTTTAATGGAACTAAAGCTCATGCGATAGCGCTCGTCAGAGTGTATTTTTGAATAGACATTTATTCAATAATTTGTTGGGTTTACGTCATCGAATCTCGAAACGGGATTAATAGATATATTTTACTGTTTATATAATTTATATTTACAAATTATGACTGTAGTGAACATTGAGAATCGTATTGTATTAAATGACAGTAGGTACTGCACATTTGAAGCGACTATTTAGTCTGTGCGATACATATAACCAGTTACATCATTGAACAAAATATTTTCAATCAAAAGTTAATTTCAAAGTAGCGTCAAAAATTTACTGAGTGCATTTTCAAAATTAAGAATTACGAAATTCGATTAAAACTAACAATAAGCTGCTCTTAAAACTTAAGTAGTTAAGATTAAATCTAGTCCCATATGATTAATGATAATAAATCAAATATCAAAATAATCTAAACTGCAATAATTTATTATTGTAACTGCAATAAAATCATGTTTTAGTAACAATTTTATTGCTTGTTTCCCGAGCGTGAGTTAAGGAATTAACGAACTAAAATTTGTCACACGACAAGATGACGTCATCGCCAAAACCATCATCATTAATACTCGCAAATCTTAATTTCAAAACAAGACAAAATTAAATTTGTGGTTTCAACAGTACGGTGATCCTCGATACTATCATGGAAAAGAAGTCTTATCTTATCAAATATTATCCCCGCCCACCCACCGTCTATTTTCTTGGGGGTATGTCATTTGCCAAAATCAGTCTTATCTTAGCAATGGCTATCCCCGCCCACTCCCTCTTCTCATTCTTACAACTAATTTAATTTCTGTTGAGTAAAAGATCATTGATTTCATTCAGATCGAATAAAATCAATCACTGAAACGGAGGCAGGGTGGGTGGGGCTAATTATGTTCTTCTGTCTAGTGGGAGTGGAAACTAATAATAGAATCTAGGATGTGAAAAAAGAAAAAAAAAACTAAAAATTGCTATATTTAAATTAGCGATTTTGGAAAAACGGTAGGAATTTCCAAAGAAACAAAGCCGGAAATGACTTCTGGATAAGGAAATCTACAAGAAAATGTCTTCAACTAATTTTCGAAAATGGTTGAAAAATGGTCGAAAATGTCAAAAATGCTAAAATCAGTGTTATCTTTTCAAATATTATCCCCGCCCACCCACCCTCTATTTTCTTAGAGGGTATGTCATTTACCAAAATCAGTCTCATCTTAACAGGTACTAGGCCCCGCCCCATAATTGCAGAATCCATATTTCCTTGCAAAAATGTACCATTTTAACCATGTTCTAAGTTCCTTGTTGTGAAAAGATGACTATGTATATCAAGAAAAAAAAGCCAAAATATAAGCCCCGCCCATTGTGATGATTTTTTTTATTCGTCGTAGGCCGAGGGGCGGAGCTCAAAATCTTTATTTTTCTACGAGAAACTGCCATGTGAAATATGTTCTTAAGTAATCGTGTTATACAAAGAAAACTAAATGTATTAATTAAAAAAGAAAACCAAAACAGAAGCCCCACCCATCCGTCTCGATCTCAATCGTAATGAATTTTTCATTAGTTGTTAGAACGAGGGGTGGAGCGAAAAATCTAAAATTTAGAAACATCAAAAATTAAAAATAAAAAAAATTTAAAATGAAAAACTTTAAATATGCTAAAGTGAAACATCGGTTAAAAATCGATTAATCCGGAAATTGAGAAACCGGGAAATTGAAAATCGAAAATATAGAAACGTCATAAATTGAAAGTCTCTCTCTTACAGGTAAGTCGGGAGGGGACTTGTCAACCCCTATCCTCCCAGAAGTCCAATCATTAAGCCTTAATTTTTTTTCTGTGGGGCACAGTTAAATAAATTGTTGGCAGTTTCCAATTAACAACGTGAAATATTTGGAAAATAAAATGAGAGAAGTCATAGAATCTATCTCACCAAGAAACAAAATGTTGGACAGAACTTTGAGCAGTTGTTGCATTAATTAAATACATGTTTAAAGTTTTCGAGAAATAAATACACCTGCGGAAGTGTATTTAGGGCTGCGTTTCCAATTCTGTCAGGCCGATTATTATTCGTGATTGACTCTGTATATAAAGTGAAATTTCTAGTTTCCCAAATTTTTAGATATTCAAAAGGCAATGAGTTTTTCATGACAAAACATACTTTAGCGTACATAAAAATCATGTACCTACCGAAGTTTGCATTTTTAATATCTACTCTCTTACATTTCGACATAAGATATCTACTTCTGAAAAAATTTCTACGTTCTTAAACATGTTTGGAATTAATCGCAAAATCTTAACCCCCTCCTGCTTGCTCATGCTCATGCATTAAAATATTGCTATCTGTTTCGATTTTAAAGGTTATGTCAATCTAGTGTTCCCATTGTTGTTTAAAAATCTATTTTTCAAAATTTCGAAGAAAATGTGTGCATATATGAGGCTGCCCAAAGTATGAGAATATCCTGACGTGAAAAATCTTCTGCACAATGAATATTATACAATGTGGTAAGTTAAAAGTGTTTATTTATCTACGTTGCGTTTATGACCTACCTATCAGTATCACTTCGTAGCAGACGCTAAGACAATCAACTAAAATCAACTTAACGACCAGCTTGAAAGTCATAAAATAGTGTACTTTATATTGTATTAGTAAGTGAATTGAAGTTAACATTTTGAACCGCGCGCTCAAAGTATGCAACGCAATATACAAATATGTATACAGAGTGGTGATAATATTAAAATCACCTAAAATCATTTTACAAAATATGTTTTACTTAATTATAGGGCCTCCAAAGATAAACTTTAAATAAAATTTTAGTCAAATTTAATTGTAGATGATCAAAGAAAGCTTTTATCCGCTTTTCAAAGTAACAATTTAAAGAATAAAGGATTTATTTAATAACCGTTTATTTAATCCTATATATAAATCATTTGAAATTTGGGCCCAATCTCCCGTCGGACATAAAATATCATCTGTAAAATTTATATAAAAAACCCTCTAAATAATTCTCATGTGCTGGTTGAATCGTCGGCGTTATTTCTAATAGAACTGTAGCTTTATATACATATGTGAAGTTTTCATGGATTTGATGTTGAATTTAGAGCTGCGTTTTTTCTGAACCGTCTGTTTCCTTTTAATATTTTATTTGTACAATGTATTTATTGCAGAAATTTTAGGTCTGTCATTGTTTCTAATCTTTTAAAATCTAAATTCATACTGTTTGAGTTTATTCGTATTCCATCACCTTTTCATTTGCATTTTGCTTTCTTCTGCGTTTCGTTATTTTTTAGTTTTCTTCGGTGAAAAATTTTTCATACAGAAACTTGGGGAGGTTGAAAAACAACTTAATTTTTTGTTGAAAGCTTTATTATTTTGTAATCTGATACACAGGTTATATATTTAATTCACATTGAGATAAATTATAATAGTGATGGTCGGACAAGTTTCCAATGTTCCGTTTCGTTTACACGTTGGGGAAAAACCACAAACCCCAAATGGGAACAATTGGAAAAATGTGGAATTACAACCGCAAATTCAGTTTAAGCTAATTAATGAAATCCTATCAAGTAAATTCCAAATCTAAATTTGCTTTCTCCTTTCTTTGTTCGTTCGTTTTATACAAATATTCCTCTTAATAAATACGGTAACATTAACTTGCAATACTTAACAAATTGTATACAATTAAAACAAAAACCAACAGCAATAAATTATAAAATAGCATCAAATTGCAAGATATTGTTACACGAGATGAAATGAAATCACCCGCTTATAATTCTATCAATATTAAAATAAGTACATCATTGCTAATTTGGTACGCGAAATACTACAATTACGAGCCTGCAATCGTAATTGAATTATTTCTGTTTAGTGTAAAATGGCAAAGGGTAGAAAATAATTGCACATCGAAAATAATACCGGATACCCGCACGGTTCCGGCAAAAGTGTTCAAAATTCCAGGCAGGATGTTTTTGTATCGATAATTCATGGACAATTGATGAAAAAAACAAATTGAGCCACAACTAAACATTTTGTATAATCACTCACTTCTAGAGCAAGCATAGGAATAGTATCTATAACATTTTTTTAATGCGAAAGCCAAAGATCTCTTTTGTTCATATTGCGTTTTGTTGTTTTTAATTCGTCAAACATCGAGATATGTTTATGTTGTTAATAATACAATAGGTAACATTGATTTTGACATTGACGATAATTAGGGAACGTCCACTTATTGCTTGCTTTCTTTCTCTAGTTCTTTAAGCAGTTGCTTCATTTCTTCAGAAAGTTGGTGCTGGTCGGCTACTGGTCTAAAACAATGAAAACAATATTAGTCATAATGATTACATTAATTAAAGTTGATCGTGTATACCTTTGTTGGGACGAAGTCGTGTCTTCTTGTGGACCACTAGCGGTAGATTCCTCTCCTTCAGCTGAAAGAAAAATATAATGAAACCAAGTGCGTTTTTATGACGTTGTTAAAATCATGCTAAATATTTACAAAAATTTGTTTAAATAGTGCACTGCATCAGAAAATGTGTCCAAACTCTGAAATAGAATAGCTAGTTAGAAAACAAAAATGACAATGACGAACATAGAGAACCTTTTCGAATGTTAAGGTGTAATTTACATTCACAATATGCACAACAACGTAGCCATTAGCCCAAAACATCCAAATATATACAATGTAAGTAGAATAAAAATGTGGAAATTCGTGTTGCATCCTAGCTTCTACAGTTACAGTGTTAGGAAGTGCAGGGGTCTGCTACATTTCCCCTTCGTCAAAAAGTACGAATTATTATTTTCTAGGTAATAATTTTTAAGTGCAAGTGAAACTAGATGCTTCACGACGGGACAAACATCGACTGGATAAAATTTACAGTGTTTATATACAGAAACAATAAAGTAAATAAATTTAAATAAATGAAAAGATAGCATCTCTACCATGTTTGGGTAAATTAAAACGCCAGTCGTGTTCTCGAGGATCCACTTCGATCTGATCATCGACACTGATTTCGTAACGAAGCTGCCTTCGACGGGATGCATGGGCTAAACCAGAAAAGAATCAAAGTCTGGTTGATCATCTGTACTACTTTAATGGAGCAAGGACTCAAGGTAACGATGAAGTGAAAACGAAACCTTTCTGCTTACCTTTCGATGCGGAATCTTGTGGTCCTCCTGTTGCTGCAAGACTGGACTCCTCACCTAAGGAAAAAATGAACATCAATTCTGGGAATAATTCCAAGGTGCGGTGATTTAAGTACTTTGTTAGAACTGAAGTCCATGCAATGTAAAATGACATGCAAACTCATCAGAACCCAAGTGACGACTTACCTCTACAAAGTAAAAAAATATCCATCAAGTGAAGTGAAAGAACGTAAGCTTAACCTAAAGTGCAATACGCTTGTAAATAAGATAAAAACTGAAAAGAAAAAATAAAATCAAATAATAAATGTTTAGAACACAAACCTGTCGTTTCTTTGGGAATTGATGTTAGTTCGTTAGTTTTGCTAGCTACAGTTTTCTTTATAAATTCCTCCATGTCTGGCCCTTCTTCTCCTCTAATAATAAATCGCTTTTGCACGACTCTCCTTGTGTGCACGTTACCGGCAGCATCCACTTCTTGCACTTCTTCGACATGTTCGCCTTCATTGAAATCTTCAATGAATTGTTTTAATCTCTCATCAGCGTCACTTCCATAGAAAGTGACTTTTCTGACTTCTGGTGGCAGTTCCACCCGTCTATGTATAGTGTGCGAAAAACCATCGTCGTCGCTTGGTTCAATTACTTCAGTAACGTAAGGTTTTCCGCTGTCTTGGATATATTCAGTTGAAAATTTTCGACTAGTTCCGGTCTCTTCCTCGAACCACACTTTTCGAGCTGCGGCGGCTATATCTACTTGAACTGGATCGATAGTATCTGTCGACGATACCATGGTATTCGACCCTCCACTAGTAAAACTTCCAGAGAAAACAGAGTCGGTTTCGTATTGATAAGTCGCATGAGTGGCTGTGGAACTAGTTGGGTCCGCTAAGCTATCCGTGCTTTCCAACATGGTTTCAGACTGCCTAGTCGCTAATTCTAGAGAATCGCTGGAAATCATACCACACGCTTCATCTTTATCATCTTTGATTTCAATACTGTCACTGAGTAAATTTATAGGTTCAGGTTCACTCTTTTTCGCTTGAAACTCGATAGAATCCGTACTAGCAGTCATAATATCGGCACAAGTTTTTTGATCAAGACTGTCGGTACTATCATGCTGACTTTCCTTCTCTTCTTTACCGTCGATCGAATCCGTTGAGGTCACCATAACATCTTCATTTTCTTTCCACTGAACTTTAACAGTCGTCCTCACTATAGGAGCATCTAAATCTAAATCTGGAACTTTGGCAACCTCTTCAATCGAATCACCACGTCCTAACGACTCAGTCTTATCAGCTTCCTTCAAATCTATAAACCTCTCAACGTTACTTTGAGCTTGTCTTATGATCTCGTCAATTTCAAACATTCTCTTCTCGTAGTCTTCTTCGTCAGAGTCGGGGATTATCTTCTTGTCCGTTCTCGAAACGGTTTCACAACTCTCAGATTCCGAAGCGATACTTTCTTGACCTTCGTCGATTTGAGCTAACATCGCCTCTTCCTCTTTAGCTTTAGTTTCGATTTTGTGGGCCGCAATACACGCCATTTCCAATCCCTCAAATTCCTTCAACGAACTCACAGAAACATCGTCACCTTGGCCCGACTTGCTAGCGTAATATCGTGTTTTGAAACTTCCGTTGCTGGAAGAATCTTGGGAGCCTTGATGATAGCGCCTGTTTTCTAAAGACATCGCTCGTTCCAAATTTTCAAACTCTTGAAGACTGGACATGGAAATGTCGTCATGTTCTCCGGATCTTGTGAAATACTTCCGACCGGCTAAAACGTCGTATTCTGGAGTACTCGAATAGGAGTCTTTCACGCTGCCTAAACTACCTCCGGATTCTTTCTGCGATCCCACACTGCCTATTCTACTCGAGGTCGGATCGAAATCGTTGATGTCTTCTTCTTTGATGTCCTCTAACGGCCCACGTTCAAATTCCATTTCGTAATCATATCCTGCCGCTAGTCTGGCCGCTTGATCCCCTTGGAATTGTTGTTCGATCCACTTTTTGTTAGCTTCAAGCTCCTTCTCGTAACTGCTTGCTGCAGCTTCGTTATTAATTGGGGGACTGTCCTCAAATTCAAAACCGAGTTCGTCGCTGGACGATCCGTCGGGATAGAACTTCACGTCCGTCATTCTCGTCAGAGGTGTGGGAGCCGACCTTGTCAAATAAGCTTCTACTTCTTCGTCGTGTTTTTTGGCCCGTTGTTTTTGTTTACTTTTTTGGTGAATCGAAACGCTCTTCCCTTCAGAATCAAATTCCTGTGCTTCTTTTGCGACTTCTTCAATCACGACGAAATCGTCAATCAAATCCGGCTTTTCCAACATTTCGAAAGAGTCACTATTAGGAGAATCTGTGTCCTTATCAGCTTCTTCCTTTACTGTTTGTTCAATCACGGTACTCTTCGATTCCGTCGCAGCCTCTTCAGGAATTGAAATGCCAGAATCTTCAAGTACGTATTCGCGACCTTGATCCGTATCTTCCGAGCTCTTACTCGAAGGAGTTTGTGGTGTAGATTTCTGTGTTTCGGCTTCCTTTTCTTTCTCCTTCGCTCTTTCCTGCTCTTCCAATTCCAAGTCTGGGTATCGGAAATTACGATCCACCAACGGTGTCATATGTTGTGTTACTTTAATGTCTGGAATGGATCCAGGACTTTGATCTCTAAGTTGTGAACGCCTTTTCTCATATTCCTTTTGAGCTCTCTCCCTTGTTTCCAACTCGTGTTTCTCCGCATCTTCGTCTTCTAGTATAGGGCAAATCTGTTTAATCTTGTGAGCTGGAGACACATGTGCTACCATGTTAAAAGCCGCTTCCGCTTCAGCTTCTTCGAAACTCGACTTTTCGCTAGAAGTGCTGCTGGACTTTCCATGGGAATCACGTTTTTCCAATTGCTCTTTATGAAGATGTAAATCCGGTGTTTCTGATTTCTTTTTAGCTTCCTGAGCTCTTGCTAAGGCGGACGTGTATTCTTGTTCGAGTTCTCCGACACTTGCTTGGGTCTCTGAGCTAAATTCCGGAGTATCGTCTTTGATTTCTTCTTCGGTTTCGTGATATTTACCCTCACGAATGTCGCGGTGAAAACCTTGATCTGCTTCCGTTTCATAACTTTCCTCTCTTTCGCGTTCATCGATATCTTTCTTTTCGTCGCTGATGACTTCCTTAAAACTCAGCTCCGCCGTGTATTTGTCGCTTTCTGTTAGGTCGGAATGGAATTTCTGATCGAAGCTACTTAAAACCGGTGGAACAAACGAACTGGTGCTCTCCTGTCGTCTGTGAGTTTTCTTTTTGGTTTCAGGAGGACATTTTCCATTCATTAGTGGTTCTTCGGTTTTGATAGCACGGTCCTCTTCAGGAGTATGACTCTCTGAAGTCACCTGTGTACTCACACTTCTGATCCCACTTTCGTGTACTATCGATGTAGTGAACGTAATTGATTCGATTTGTAAGTTACCTTCGATTTGTCCAGTTGACGTACCAGTTTCAGTAGTTCCTAGGGGAGCGGTAGGATGGAATACTAAACTGTCACAGCTTCCTTCAATACTCAACTGATCAGAAATTCCAGAAACGGACATACTGCCACCATCCATCCTCTCAGAATCAGCTCGAGACAATTCGATGACGGTTCTTGGTTCGGTGGTACCAGAAGTACTGGACAAACTCATACTGACAATGCTACCATCATCCATACTTGTGAACTTTCGATCCATTTCGTCTGCTTGAGGAGACTCCGCTGCCAGAATTTTCGGTTCAGGTTGGAATGTCATCTCGTAGGACCTCTTCATTTTCGTTTGGGTATCCGCGGGCTCATCCATAATTTCCTCGTTCCAAGGTCCATCGTCTAACTGGTCGACTGCATCCAGAATATCGCCTTCTGCATCGCTAGCCGAAGGTACCAAAGTTTCTGACAGTTCGGAGACTTCTACGCTTCCAAGATGCCCGGAACTCTCACTGTCCAAACTTTTCATGCTTTCTTTAGAACTCAAACTACTCACTGCTGTATGATATTCAGTAGAGGTGATGTGCGATCTGCTTGAGTAATCTTGGGAAGTCAACGCACTTTCGTATTCAGAAGATCCAGCTGCTACGAGTCCCTCTACATCGGAAGAACAAGGTCGACTTTTTCCACTGTCTAGTTCAAAACTGTGGTAGTGACTTTCACCGGAACTTGAATAAGCCTCGAAGTCGATACCCGATTTTCGATCAGCCTTCTGAAGTGTGGATGTTTTCCTCATCAGTACTTCTGGTTTTTCAAGTACTTTAGATGAATCCGAGTCACCTTTACGTCCTGAGGAACACGTCGAGAATTGATCCTCTGGAGATTTCCCGGATTCGACGCTCGACTTAGATTCGCTGCTAGAAGTTCGTTTGATTTCTTCGTGTTTTTCGATTACTGTTTTGACCTCATCTAATTCGACGGGTAGTAAAGATGGATCTATATCAATAACTTCGATTTTCTCTTTAATTTCAGTAACCGTTGATAATTCGCGAATGACGTCCGTCGAGGTTACTTTGCTACTAATCTTGCTTTCTTTAACAACACTATCTTCGTCTTTGAGCGTCCGTACTTCGGTTTCTTGATCGATTACTTCTTTTTGTATAGTTGTGGTGCGTGATTTTTCAAGTGCTTCTTCTTTCTCCACAGCGACACCATCAACTTGTTTAGTTTCACTTGTAACTTCTTTTTTTATTGTATCTTCTTTCGACAAATAATCTTCACAGGTGATTTCTCCTTTTAGTTTTACTTCATCAGTAGGTGACTTTTCAGTCATGTCGACGTGATGCTTGATGATCGATTTGGTAATGTCTCTTTCGTGGGTAGCATCTTCGATTTTTCGTTTATGCACGTCTTCGCCTTCTGTTTCAACGGTTTTAGTAGTAATGTCAGTAGTTTTTTCCTTACTGACATCGACGCTGGTTTCTCTATATTCGTCGACCTCTATGTCTTTGACTTTCTTATGCAACATTTCAGACGTCACGGCCTCAACACGAGTTTCCAGTTGTTCGCTTTCTTGACCAACAGATTCCGAGATTGTTTCATCTTCCTCGAATATTATGTCTTTGGCTTCGGATTTTTCGCCTTTAATACTTTCAAACGTTTTAGTATGTACTTCACTTTTCAATCCTGTCGTGATACCACCTTCCACTGTTTCGTAGTCCTTACTTAAGTGTGTTTCTTCGGTATGTTTCTCGTCTATTTTATCCAATAACGTCATCGATTTGATATCGTCCAACTTTTCAGCTTTAAGTTGACTTATCTGTTGTTCAAGAACATGTGTGGTGTCTCCTTCCGTGCCACTGTACTTCAAGTCCTCGTCTGTGATTTCAATGCTGGATGCTTGAGTATCACCACGAGACAACTTGGCGAGTTCGCGTTGACGCCTTGCCAAAACTGATTCAACTAGTTCTACCTCTCTTTCATCTAATCCCTTCGTTTCAGCTAAGTATTTCAAATAATCCGACACCTCTCCTGTCGTGGTGGCGGGTGGCAAACACTCGCGTCTTTGTATTTCGGCCTCGATTTCTTCAATCAAAGCACTTGCGATTGCTTTCGCTTCAATCGGATCAACCTTTTGATGTTGAAGGCTATCCATGATGATCCTTTCAATATCGCTGTGACTTTCCGATTTGATTTTATCAGAGGCGTAAGAATCAGAATGATCTTGATGTATTTCCGACCCTAAATCAGATTCATCCCGAGTGCTCAAACTTAGATCTTCGTCAATTTTTTCGACAGGTGCTCCATCAAACGAAGTCACTTTCTCGTCAAAATGAGCTTCCGGTTGGGATTGAACCGATACTTCCCAAACGGTGTCCTCGACGTGTTCTTCAGGAACGTGTATGGGTGAATCCAATTCTGTTTTCTTGTCTGACTTTGGTGCATACTCATCACTTTCCTCACTAATTCGTCTTTGTTTCCCGGACAGAGTTACGGTGATTTCGGGTATACTATCATCAACGAAAGTCGCCGACTTTGGTGACATCTCTACAGCGTTTAGAGAATCTAATGATTTTGTTTCGAGATCGGTAGCGTCTTGGTCTAAATCGGCAAGTTTTTCTGAATCCTCTATTTCGCTCTTGTCTACGTGTACTTCCATAGAATCGGGCTTTGAAGTACTTCCGTTCCTCGTCACCCTGTCAATATCCGACGAGGAACTCTGTTCTGAACCTAAAGAGGACCGTTTGGTTTGAGCATCAACATCGATTTCTTTGTGCGTTTCTTGGAATTGTTGTGAAATCGGTGTTTCATCCTCAATGTGCGTTATAGTCTTTTCGGGTTTGTGCGCTTGACGGTGATCTTCAAAAGAGACTTCCTTCTTCGTTGCCTCATCGAAGGATCTCGCTATATCTAAAACGGGCACTTTCTCTTCGCTAATTTGCTGGACCAAGGAGCCGATCAACGTTTTGCGTTCAGGTGAGGGCTCCTCTTCGATTTCGCTCGTTAGCTGCTCTTCGATCATTTCCTTCTTGATCTGTTCTTCGTAATACTGTTTCCGTAATTTGATGCTTCGTGCTGAAACTTCGTACATATCCTCAGTAGGCAACGAAGCAGATCTTTCGTAGATGGTTTTACGAGCTGCCGCTACAGGTGGCGCGAAAACGCTCATCTGTCTTTCCCTAATTTGTGGGACACGATCTTCGATTTCGGAATCGGAAATGTAGTGCTCCACATCTCCGCTGTCCGAAATGTAACCGGCGTTCTCGTTGGTACCACTGTGAGCGAGATTGTCCGATTCCGAATCGGTACTTTCTTTGTCTGATTCGACTTTGGGCGGTGATTTAGATTTGCGTTCGCTCGGCGGCTGGAATGAGGCTTGGTATTCCGACATGATTTTGGTTTCTGGCTCCTCATCTATTTTGGACGGTGCCGCCTCCTCTATGCTTGGCGTAACTTGTACTTGAGAACGAGGTTTCGGAATAGGAACTTCGTGCACCGAAACCCTCTTCTTCACCAAGTCCTTCTCGGGAGTTGGTCCTTCGTGCAAACTCATTCGTTTGTCTTTGGTCACGTTCTCCCAGAACTTTTTCTTGTCGGAATAAGTCTCGGGTACCGCCGGCTCCTCCTCATCGAGTAAATCGTCCCTGACAGGTGAAATTTGTTTTTCGAGTTTGGGTTGTCGTCCTTCTTTGAATTGTAGCGGTGGTGTTTCTTTGGCAAAGCGGGGTTTGGGTTGGGGTATTGTTTTTATTTCTTCGGTTAGTGTTGGCGCGCAGGTGGTTTCTAAAAAGAGGCGGTTAGATGTTAGCGGGGACTAGCAATACAAAGAGGTTTAGTACTATTACGGTTGGTAATTTTTAGCTTTGGTCACATTGACAGGCAGGTATCTTTCCGACTTTTACTGGGGTCGCACGCACTTACCGTTTACTCATCGCTCGGTTGAATTAACTTAACAAAATCAAAAGAAAAATGAAAATTACACTAACAAAACATAACAAAAAAAAGAACATATGAAAGCCAAAGATGCTTGTGCTACGGCGTGTCACTCCGCTAAGACCGTTTGGATGCAAGGTAATCTAAACCCATGGAGGAATTTTTGGTGAGTAACGTTAAGCAAGGGATTTGGATTACCTTGTACGTCTACTCATGCAAAAGAAAATCAAACATATCGGGCCCCGCCTCTGTCGGGTCTACCGCAACCCCGTGCGCCCCTCCCCTTGCATACCTCGACGTTCAAATTTTCCTTTACGTTTCGCCCGTTTTTTGCCCTGTCCTTTAGTAATACGTATGGCTGGAACTGCTGGGTTAGTTTTGCCGCTCGGTTGGGATAAATTCGAATCCGAACTAGCAACGCTAACTGTGTCGACCGAGGATTCGTCCATGCGATTTGACTTATCGAGCCAATCGAGGACGGCATTCATGATTTCGCCTCTGGACAGATCCGAACTTGAAGACGCGGTACTCCGTAAAGAAGCCGTACTACCGTACAAAAATCTGTCGGGGTTGAGTTGAATGATTGTGCTGATTAGGGAGCCTTTCAGGGAGGTCCTTTTTAAATCAGGGAGACTACCCCTGTCGAATTCTTTGGGGGGACTAGTTTCTTCATAGAAATCCAATGCGGATTTAGCTCGCTTATTTTTCTTGGTGGGTCTGGGGGTATGACAAGGACTCCTCATGATCGGTATGACATCGACCTCGACGCCAGCTTTGTTAACTAAGTTATCTTTATTTAAAGTGACTGGTCCCATGTAAACGACCTCACCTACGGGGGAATCGAAACAATGAAATGGAACCTCACAATCTAGGCCCCGATATGTTTGTGAAATGGGAGTTTGAAACGAGTCGATCTGGATGAGTTAGCTAAATGCATGCTTCTTGATGTGAATTTACAATAAAATGGCGTGAGTGATGACAGTAGTGTGAGAGAAGGAAGAACAGGATCGTTTTGAGTTTACTTTTAATTAAGCTGACATCTATTTAACATCTACCTTGAGGAAGTTCCTGCACGTCAACTTGACTGTCGGGGGTTTTTGAGTCCCAATCGTCGCTTTTTGAGAACGTGGTCTCATCCCATAAATGACTGTATTCTTTCTGGAAGTCTGACACCTCTTCAGTGCTTAGTTGAGAGACGAGTTTTTGAAATTCGTGCTCACGATGCGCCTCGACTTCAGTCGGCGACACTCCGGCTCCGTCTTTGTCCATTACTTCGGACGCCATCCGTTCGAACTTGCGTTCGACCCTATGCAGCTTTTTCTCGAGCTTAGGGTCGGACGCTTGTTCTAATGAATCTAACGCTTTGTCCAAGTCACGTAATTTCTGTTCAATTTGTTCGACGTCGGCTTGCGAGTCTTTTTTAATTTCTTCCAACTCCGATTCAGCTTTACTTAACGTGCTTCCGGCTTTCTCTTTTTCCTCTGTTTTTTCGCTTCCTTCGGTCACCGACCTCTCCAAATCTTTAACCAACTGACTTTCCAAATCGCTCAACAAATTATCGAGTTTATTCTCCGTTAAAGTCTCCAAAACATTGGACCTTACACTGTCTCGCCTATCTTTCATTTTGGCTAGCTCAACAGGGTCGTCTTCTTCAGACTCTAAGTGAAAAAGCGGTTTACGTTTCTTTTCTTGCGCTTCTTCCGGTTCCGTAACTGTATATTTCTCTTCATCACTTTCGTCGTCTGCTTGCATAATTTTTACTTCTCGGACGGTTGGTCGCTCTTCCCGTGAAAACCGCTGTGACTCCGCACGTCTTGCCATTGTTGGAGAAGTCACATATGAAGTTATTTTTTCACCTTGCTGAATAACAGGTTCGGACAACTGGTCCAAAGAACTTGTTAATTGTGCTAACTGATCATCAAGTTCCATCATTTCTGAAGCTGCCGCTTTTTTCTTGTCTTCTACTACATCCGCAACGACAGCTTCAGCCGGTTTTTTCTTTTTAGATAGTTCCTCTATGATTTTGACTGACGTATCTTTAACTGCTGACTCTAATTTTGTTAAATCGTCCACAATACTTTTCTTTACTTTGGTCGCATCACCAACTTCTTGTTTGAACGCACCACTAACTGTATCTTTAGTTTTGGCCACATCTTCCAATTTCGCCGAAGGTAATCCTTGTACGGTTTTTAAAGGTTTCTCCATTTTTTGCACTGTTTCCTCAGTTTTCTTGGCGGTACTTGTGGCAAACAAATCCCCTTTTGTTAACCATTCGTCAACTTTAGCGGCACCCGTCCTAGAAATTTCATCTACTTTTTGAGCTGCAGTTTGCTTTGCAGCGTCTTTATCTTCTGTAACACCGGCAATTTTTTGAGACACCTCCTCTTGAAGACCACTTGTTTTTTTTGATGCATCCTCGCTGATGGTGGTAATGTCACTAATTTTTTGTTCCATAAAACCCTTTAAAGCATCTGTAGCTTCTTGTTTTGCTTTAACTGATTCATCAGTTATCTTGTCTCTTTTTCCGGATAAATCGTCTACAATACCTTTACTCTTTTCGGCTAACGATTTCTCCATACTTTCCTTTTTCTGGAATAGATCGTCAACCTGTTTAGAAGCAGTTTTACTAATGTATTCTACTTCAGATTTTGCGGCATCTTTCACAGTGTCGATTTTTTGAGCCGCGATGTCTTCAAGAGATTTCTTCGTTTTAGAAATATCATCCACTTTTTTTGAAGTATCTTCTTTCAACTTCTCTTTAGTTTGACCAATTTTTTGTGAAGCCGCTGACATAAAATCACCAGCTGCTTGTGAAGCCTGTGTTTCTAAAGTTGTTTTCGCTTTTGCAACATCTTCAGTTTTATCAGCAGCTGATTTTCTTAGCTCGTCAAGTTTTTGTGCACCGGTTTCCTTAACAGATTCTTTTATTTGTACCACATCATCAATTTTTCTTGTGAGTAGATCGTCCATGCGTTCAACCTTTTTTGAAGTATCCTCTTTGAACTTCTCTTTAGTTTGACCAATTTTCTGTGAAGCTGCTGACATGAAATCACCAGCTGCTTGTGAAGCTTGTGTTTCCAAGGCTGTTTTCGCTTTTGCAACATCTTCAGTTTTATCAGCAGCTGCTTTTCTTAGTTCGTCAGCTTTTTGTGCACCGGTTTCCTTAACAGATTGTTTTATTTGCATGAGATCATCAATTTTTCCTGTAAGTAGATCGTCCATTCCTTCAACCTTTTTTGAAGTATCTTCTTTCAACTTTTCTTTAGTTTGATCAATTTTTTGTGAAGCCGCTGACATGAAACCACCAATGGCTTGTGTAGCCTGTGATTCCAAGGTTGTTTTCGCTTTCGCAACATCGTCAGTTTTATCAGCAGCTGCTTTTCTTAGCTCGTCAACTTTCTGTGTACCGGTTTCCTTAACAGATTCTTTTACTTGTACCAGATCATCAATTTTTCCTGCAAGTAGATCGTCCATACGTTCAACCTTTTTCGAAGTATCTTCTTTCAACTTCTCTTTAGTGTGATCAATTTTTTGTGAAGCCGCTGACATGAAACCACCAATGGCTTGTGAAGCTTGTGTTTCCACAGTTGTTTTCGCTTTTGCAACATCTTCAGTTTTATCAGAAGCTGTTTTTCTTAGCTCGTCAACTTTCTGTGCACCGGTTTCTTTAACAGATTCTTTTATTTGTACCAGATCATCAATTTTTCCTGCAAGCAAATCGTCCATACGTTCCACCTTTTTTGAAGTATCTCCTTTCAACTTTCCTTTAGTTTGACCAATTTTTTGTGAAGCCGCTGACATGAAACCACCAATGGCTTGTGAAGCTTGTGTTTCCACAGTTGTTTTCGCTTTTGCAACATCTTCAGTTTTATCAGCAGCTGCTTTTCTTAGCTCCTCAACTTTTTGTGCACCGGTTTCCTTAACAGATTGTTTCATTTGTACCAGATCATCAATTTTTCCTGTAAGTAGATCGTCCATACGTTCAACCTTTTTTGAAGTATCCTCTTTCAACTTCTCTTTAGTTTCACCAATTTTCTGTGAAGCGGCTGACATGAAATCACCAGCTGCTTGCGAAGCCTGTGTTTCCAAAGTTGTTTTTGCTTTTGCAACATCTTCAGCTTTATCAGCAGCTGTTTTTCTTAGCTCGTCAACTTTTTGTGCACCTGTTTCCTTAACAGCTTCTTTTATTTGTACTAGATCATCAATTTTTCCCGTCGCTGCTTTTTTAACATCATCAACTTTAACACTCGCTGCTTTTTTAATGTCTTGTTCGGCTTTAATTGCCTCACTAGTTTCTCGTGCGATGAAGTCTTCGACCTGTTTCTTACCATGTGCTAAAGCATCTATTTTTCCAGTAGTTATTTTGCTGATCTCCTCTAGTTTTCGTCCTGAGGCATCTTTTATGTCATCCTTAATTTGAACAACGTCTTCGCGCTTCTGATCGACTTTTTCTCCAACCGCTTTTTTAACTTCTTCTCCAGTTTTTTCTAGGCGGCTTACCGTGTCCGTTGCGCTATCCACTGCTTGTTGTTTAGCTTTTTCAAAAGCGTCAACCTTCTGTGACGCCACTTTACTTACATCATCAAACTTCGTTGCAATCGCACCGGCGGCCTTGTCTTTTGTTTCTTGAATTTCGCCAACTTTACCATGTATTGAAGCCTGCAAGCTTTCAACAGCAGCCGCTCCCTTTTCGGTAACTTTTTCTTTTTGTTGGTCAAATTTGTCAGCAGCTGCTTTTTGAAGACCTTCACCTGTCTTCTGGAAATCACTTAATTGTTTCGCACCTCTATCAGTAATGTCCTGCTTCAGTATTTTTACGTCTTCGAACTTTTGTGATGCTGCTTTACCGAAATCGTCGACCTTTTTTGCCGCATCATCTTTCGCTTGCTTCACTTCTGTCGTTTTCTGCTCAATGGAATCACGTATTCCTTTTGACAAATCTTCAGTTTTTTGCGTAACTGCTTTAGAAACGGTGTCAATTTTTTCGCCAGCTGCAGTTTTAGCACTTTCTCCTGTTGCTACAAGCTCTCCGACTTTTTGAGCAGCTGACGTTTGAATATCTTCAACAATTTTGTCCTTTGTTTTGGTTAAGACATCGGCTTTTCCTTTAACACCGTCTATTGCTTCTTGGGTAGTTGTTTCAACTTGGGATTTAATATCCTGGGTGTACTTGCCTGTTGTGTCAAGAACATGTGATGCCTTTGTTTCGACACCGGTTTTTGCTGCATCCGTTGCTGACTGAATTTGATCCAGTTTTGAAGCCGCTGCATCAGTGAACGTCTGAGCTTTCGATTCTGTTTCTACTTTTGCTGCTTCCACTTTCTTCGTGGCCGTTTCGACCGTTGCATCTTTTACTTTTCCCATCTCCTCAATTTTCTGTGTGGTCGAATCGACAATTTTGCCTAATGCTCCTGCAACGGTTTCTTTCCCCTTTTCGGCTGTTGTTTCAAGGTCCTTTTTCATCTTTAATCCTTTTTCAGTAACTGCTTCAGTTGCATCCACTTTAGCTTTTTCTATTTCCGCAACTTTCCCTGATATCAGCTCACTTCCACCTTCTCTAAAATCAACGAACTTTTTACTAGTTTCTTCTGCAGCTGTTTTTGCAGCGTCTTCTACTTTGCTTTGAACTGATTCTTTAGTCTTTTCTATCTCATCAATTTTTGTACTGGTCATATCGTGCATTTCTTGCGCTGATTTCTGCACGTCGGCTTTAGTTTTGTGAACTGCTGCTTCGACCTCCTTTTTCACACCATCCGACTTTGCAGCTACAGAATCCTTGACTTCCTTTGCTTCACCAGCAGCAAGTTCTGCTTTAACAGCGATGTCTTTCTTCAGAGAATCCAATTTTTGTCCAGTTTTAGCAGTTACTTCCAATAAAGATTCCTTCAGTGCCATCACATCCTGCTTCGCATCATCAATTTTCTGCGCAGTTTTATCTTTAGCACTGTCCTTAGCGGCAGCAACTTCATCAATCTTTTCTCTAGTGGCTTGCACTGCTGCTTCTTGCAGTTCTTTAGCACCGTCTTTGGTTTCAGTTACTTTATCACTAGCTACCTGTTGTGCTTCCTTTGTTTTTTCTTTCATCTTCTCCACGCCACTATCCACACTTTTAGCTGCAGAATCCACAGATTTTTCTACAGACTGTTTTGTTTTATCAGCTGCCTTTTCAGCACTCTTCTTAGCATCTTTCAGTTCGCTTTTAGAGTCGTCCACGGTACCAGATATTAAGTTACCCAACTTTGAGAAAAATCCTCCTGATTTCTTCTCAGCTTTCTTTGATGTTTTTCGGGCAGTGTCTTCCACTTGAGAAGTTATCTTTTCTGCAGAGGCAATAGCTTCCGACTTTGCAGCATCCACAGGAACCTTACTATGTTCCACTACTTTTGCGGCTTTTTCAATGATATCATCTACTGTTTTTCCAGCATCAGTAGATAATCCAGTATCTATATCGGTGACCACAAGTTGTTTAGCATCTTCGTAATTATCAACTTCAATAAATAAGAAATCGCGACAATCATTCATTTGTTTTTGAACTTCAGGGGTGTATTTGCGTTTCAGTGCTTCCATTTTTTTATCGAGACTGCCTAGAACCTCCTTACTTAAATCCATCGCCGGTTCTTCTTCAAATTCTACGGCCAGTAAATCTTCTTTAACTTCTTCTTTTGTGACATCATCAATTTTGACTTCCACAGATGGCTCCATCTCTTTGACATCCTCCTCACTCTTTTTCATTTTATCGAAGAATTTAAATGGGCTACTACTCTTTCGTCTTTTTTGCTTCTTTGGAGAACCCTCACTTTCTTCTATCGATCTACCTCTAGCTTCATCAAATGAGGTGTCTTGCGACTTCTTTTTGCCAAATCTATGGAAAAATCCTTTTTTATCTTTCGCTGGTTTCTCTTTCTTGGAAGTGTCTTGTGGTTCTATGACATGTTGAACTTCCGTTGCTTCCTGTAACACTACATCCTCTACTTCTTTAACCTCTTCATGAACTTCCTTAACCACATCTGTCACTTCAGCTTTAATGACGTCAACAACTTGGGCAACTTCTGGCTGAGGAAGATGACCCTCAAGGACCATTTTTGATTTAGTTGCTTCAAATGTAACTGTTTTCTCCTCTTTTTTATCATCCGTTGGAATTTGTGGTTTAGCATCTTCGTAATTTTTCACTTCGGTTGATAAAAAGCTTTTAGTGTCATCTACACTTTTTTGTACTTCTTCTGATAGTTGCGTTTCTGCTAAGCTGGGTTTCTTTTTAGTCTTCTTAAATTTAAACAAAAATCCGCCCTTGACTTCAGGTCTTGGCTCAATGTCTTGACCGTCTGTTATAGTTACAACCTGGGTAACTTCCTCAATTTTTACAGGTTTCACATCCTCGATCTTTTCTGCTTCACTTACTACTGTTTGCTTCGTTTCAATCACTATTTGCTTAGTGTCATCAGTGACTTGTTGCACGGTGTCAACAAGAGGTTCGGTTATCTCGACAATTTCGACTTCCTCTTTCTTTGTTTTCTTAAACATACCTAATATACCAGTAGTTGGTTTTGGAGAAGGTTCCTTTATTTCATCTGGAGCTTCTGAAACTGTTCCTTCCACGACGGGTCTAGCATCGTGATATTTTTCCACTTCTTCGGTTAAGAAGCGGTCAGTATCTACAATGTTTCGTTGGGTTTCCTCAGAAAGAATAATTTTAGGTTGAGATGGTTCTTCTTTATCTTTTTTCGGCGACTTAAAAATACCAAAAAGACCACGCGATGCTTTTGGTGACGACTCAATGTCTTCCTGTGTTACTTTTGTAGCTTTTTCCTCTTCAGATATTATCTGTGGTTTAACGTCGTGATAGTTGTCAACTTCTCCCGTCAAAAACTGCTTTGTGTCCTCCATCTCTTGAACCACTTGTTCCGACAGAACCAATCCAGATGAAACCTCCTCTTCCTTTTTGGGTTTTTTAAACATACCAAACAAGCCTTTGGTTGGCTTTGGTGACGATTCAATACTTTCTTCGACTTTAGCAATTTTTTCCTCTTTTATGGGTTCAGCATCCTCATAGTGTTCAACTTCTACTGATAAGAATGTGTCAGTTTCAGCCATTTCTTTTTGGACACTTTCAGAAAGAATAGGTTTAGTGTCAGCTACTTCTTCCTGATCTTTCTTCGACTTCTTGAATATTCCAAACAGTCCACGAGATGGTTTTGGTGACGATTCAAGTGCTTCTTCACCAGCTTTAACAATTTTGTCTTCCTCAATTGCTTCGAACTTCTCAGGTTTCACGTCGTGATAATTATCAACTTCACCGGTTAAGAATACATTTGTATCATTTATAGCCTGTAGTGCAGCTTCAGAAATTACAAATTTTGGTTCAGTAGCTTCTTCTGAGTCTTTTTTCGTTTTCTTAAATATGCCAAAAAGACCGCGAGATGATTTCGGTGAAGATTCAACTCCCTCTTCTACTACTTTCGTGACTTTTTCAGTTTCGGCTGAAATTTTCTCTTTTTGGACAGCTACTTCACCTTTTACGGACTGTTCAACATCCTTTATTTCCTTTACAACAGTATCCGTAACAGACGGTTCAGATTCAACAGATTCATCCTTTTTCGATTTTTTGAAAATATCAAATACGCCTCTAGACGGTTTTGGTGATGACTCCACGGCCACCGGACTCTTCGTAATTTCAATCTGTTCAAACTTGGCTGGTTTTACATCGTTATAATTATCGACTTCGGTTGACAAAAATTGATTACTGTCATCCATATCTTTTACAACAGAATCTGAGAGAGGTGGTTTGCTTGGAATTATTTCTTCTTCGTCTTTCTTCGATTTTTTGAAGAGACCGAAGAAACCTGGTGCTGGTCTTGGTGACGATTCCCTCACCTCTTCCACTACCTTCGCAGCTTTGTCTTCTTCGGCTGCAATGACTTTACAGACTTTTTCTTCAACGGAACTAGCAAGGAGTTCCACGTCCTCCTTCTTTACTTCCGGTACGATCTTTTCATCTTCCTTTTTGGTTTTTTTGAATAACCCAAAGAAACCAGAAGATGGTTGTTCATCAGATTCTGTCGCTTTTCCCTCTTCGATTACTTTTTCTGGTACAGAACGAGCGTCCTGATAATTTTGCACTTCTCCGGTCAAGAATTCGTTCGTATCAGACATATCCTTGACAGTGGCTTCTGATAATATAATTTTTGGTGGTTGGACTTCGTCATCCTTTTTAGACTTTTTGAATAGGCCAAAGAAACCTCCAGATTGTGCTTGTGCTTCCGCAGCTTCGGCTTCGACTTTAACACTTTCAACAGGTTTTTCAACAACGGGTTTTCCAACGACAGGTTTTTCAACAACAGGTTTTTCAGCAACGGGTTTTTCGATAACTTTTTCGTGAACCAAGGGTTTGACGTCGTGATAGTTATCGACTTCGGCCACTAAAAACTGATCCGTTTCTTCCATCTCTTTAACAACTTGCTCCGAAAGCACTCTGGTGGTTTCTGCGGCATCAGGTTCGTCCTTCTTAGATTTCTTGAACAGTCCAAAGAATCCTGGTGATGGCTTGGGTGATGCTTCTCGTTTATCGTCGACCGCTTTTTTCGGTGAAGGTTCTTTTGAATCATCAATTGTCCTCTTGGGTGAAGATTCTTTCTTTCCATCGGGAGCTTTCTTCGGTGGAGGTTCTAGTCCTTTACCTGGTTTTGTCGATAATCTTTCGTCGACAACTTCTTTCGGTGAAAGAGGTTCCTTTGTCACTTCTAATATGGGTTCCACGGTCTGTTCTATTAGAAGCTTTTCAGGTCTAACATCGTGATAGTTTTGTACTTCGCCTTCCAGAAACCGTTTCGAATCCAATATGTTTTTAAGAACCTCCTCCGATAGAACAACTGCTACTTTCTTTTCGTCTACTTTTTTGTCATCTTTCTTGGGCTTCTTTTCGGTTGGATCTGATTTCTTTTCAGCTGGTACTTTTTCTTCTTTCTTTTGTTTTTTAAACAAACCGAAAAAGCTTTCGGATTGTGCTTTTGGTTCTTGAACCTTTACTTCTTCCAGTTTTGTTTCTTCCACTTTCGTTTCTTCCACTTTTTCTTCTTTGATGGGTTTAACGGGAGCAGCAGCAACAACACCCGCACTAACAGCTTCTCCCGTGGGTGAAGTTACTGGTCGAACGTCGTGGTAATTTTGGACTTCACCTACTAAAAATTGTTGTGAATCATTCATATCTTGAACCACTGCTTCGGAAAGTTCTGGTTTCTTAACCTTCTCCACTACTTTTTCGTCCTGATCCGCTGGAGGAGCTTCCTCTTCTTTCTTCGAATCTTTTTTCTTAAAAAGAGCAAAGAAGCCGCCTTTCTTTTCTTCTTTCTTCTTGACTTCTTCCTCGGCTTTCTCTTTAACATCTTTTTCTTTCAGAACTTCTTTGTCGTGTTTCTCGACTATTTCCTTTTGTGGCTCGTCCTCCTTGTCAACCTTGGCGGGAACTGCGGGAACATCCGACCACCCGCCAAAATTGATTTCGTTCTGAATTAAATCCGTAGTGATGTCTTTGACCCGATCTTGAGGAATTGTTACAGCTGGTTCCTCAATGTCTTCGTAGATGTGATCTTTAGTACGTGGTGGTCGTATGGGTACTTCAGGTTGCATTTCCAGAGCTGCCAATGGTTTGACGATCTTTTCTTCTGGTAAAATTGGGGATTTTTCCAAAATTTCCTTCTCTTTTATCTCTATGGATTCATCGATGTTGATGGTAAATGTTTCCTTCGATTTTTTAGGAGATTCTTTCTTGGTCGGGTCTACTATTATGGAAAATTCTTCTGCTTCTATTACCAACGGTTGAATCGTCTTCGTTACTTCTTCGACAATAACGGTCTTTCCTTTTATCTTCTTCTTTTCTTTTTCTTTCGGCTTTTCCTTCGTTTTAGGTTTATCCTTGTCCTTGTCGTCAGTAATTGGTTTGGAGAGTTTTTCAGGTTCCTTTTCCTCGACAACAGTTTTCTTTTCCACTTCCACTTGCTTGATTTCAATGTCTGCGTCAAGGTCGGTGACCGGAATTTGCTCTTCTTTGATTGGTATGTCAGGTGGTTTGTATGGTGGTGGTAAATCAGAAACCGAAGCTTCGACAAAAGGTATGCTGTCGATGTCGCTAGGTTCTAACGGTGGCGTCGGCAATTTGGGCTTTCTAGGTGGTAAAGCATGCTCACCTACCGCGGTATCTTCCTTCGGTTTCTTCTTTTTGTCCTTTTTAGGTTTTTTCGACTTTTTGGGTGATTTTTCTGATTCAGAATCGGACTCGAACGACCTCTCGACGAAAGTTTTAATCGAACCAAAGAAACCCTTTTTGGCTTTCTTCTTTTCATTCATGTTGTTCTTATTATCGTCTACCTTTTTCTCGTTTATGGGCTCTTTTCTAGTGTATTTGTCCGCAAGCGCGTCATACGGTTCCGGTTGTGACTCAGATTGGATAAAAGCGTTAGTTTGTTCGCAAACGGTTTTTAAATCGGTTACTAAATAATCGTCAATGACAGATAAACCAGTAAGCTGCTGGCCTAAAGGTTTGTCTAGCAATGTCTCTTCGTTACTAGCTACTAAACGTTCGGTCGTGGTTGATAATCCTGCAAACATGCAATTCCCAACAAGCTATCCTAACTACCATTAATTTACAACCTTATGAAAAAAATCGTAATATCCTTACTGCAGCAAGGTTAATGCGCAATTAGTCAGTTCAAAACGCAACAAAAACTAAACTACATCAAAACTGTCACCACCATGCGGATGAGTTCGGGGTGTTACAACCACTCGGACTTTACCTCCGCCACTATCTTCCAACCAATCGCAATACGCCCTCGGGATCTGATCGCCCTCATTAAACGGGGTGGAAGTAGTTTCGGTAAAAGGGTTCGTGTGAGGAGAGGAAAAAGTTTTAAAACCGTACTGACTTAAATCGCTGCGGTTGTAACAAGGATAAAAAGGAATGTTTGCATAAAGATCGACGCTTCCTATCTCTTTAATCACGTCTTCGTCCCGAAGTGGCACTTCAGGGTCATAAACCAAAGGAAAACGTTCTGAAGAATTCGCAACAAGCTCAGTTCGACTCCCGAAACGTTTTGCTTCCTGTAAATTACTATCAATAGGCTCGGGCGTTTTAACAAAGAGTTGTTGAAAAGTAAACGAGGGTTTTTTATCTTTTTTCAACAAGTCCTCGCACGATTCGCTTTCGTTCGGCTTTATGTTGAAATTTCGTTTACTGCGGTCGACGATGCTACTGAATTTGTTCTTCAAGCTGTTAATTTTGTCACCCAGTTGTGACTTTTTCTTGACTTCGTTAGTCTTCGTCTTTTCTGGGGGATTTTCAAGAAATTCTCGAACTGACCTGATTTCTATCGCTTCTTTACCGCGTTCTGACGTTTTTACGAGAAGTTTCACTTCAGCTTTTACAATACTTTCACTTTTATCAGGCCGCTCATCAAAGTCCGAATCGTCTGTTGATGGCGAGTCCGTGGAGTCGCTCGGATCTTGAAGAAGAACCGAATCGTACAAGGAGTACTGATTAGATGAGGTACTACGAGTAGGAAAATTGGAATAGTTACTCAGTAAACTCGTACTTTCATCTTCGTCTTCCTCCGGGACTATACTTAAGTTTCTATAAGTACCCTCAAACCAGACCTCGTTTTCTGGATATGTGTCGAATCGTTGATACACGTGAGTTAAGGCGTTGTATTCAACTGGTTCATAACTGTCATCTTCTTGGTCCGTCAACGACTCGTCCGACGCGGTTTTAGCATGACTTACTAAAAGACTCGAAAACGGTTCGTCGTCGTCGTCGTCGTCATCGTCATTCGCAATTTGAATCTCGCGATAACTCTCAAACACCGGCGCTTTTTTGACTGGAATCTCGATCAACGCGTCTGTCTCCGGCACCAATTCTAAAGTATTAACGAAAGAATCATCGTTCGGTTCGAGAATGTCTAAATCTAAACTGAACAACTTTTCTTGTTTCTCTACTTCGACAAGCATTTTTTCGAGCATTGCGTCGATCTCTTTATAGGAAGCTTGGGGTAAGGAAGGTGAGTCACGATCCGGTCTCAACAGGACGCTTTCGTACGTTACATAGTTGAGTGTTGCTTCAACAAAAAAATATGCATTAACCTGGCATAGAAGTAAGAATACCGTTTTGATTTGCATACGTTTCGTCGTGTTACCTGCTTCAATGATAATGAATGATGTTAAATAAACAAAACTCGCCCCAAAAGCCAGTGTTGCCAGCTTAAGACGGTTAGCTCACTAAAGCGTCAAGATGCAAATGTGCATTAGTAGCCATGCGCATGCATTACAAGCCAATTACTTATTAGTAAAAAATTACTGTGTTAACGCCAACGGAAAAAAATTCTCGCCAATTAATTCAGTGAAAGCTCACCTACCGTCCAACAAAAAAGTTAGATAAGCGTCTGCTTTAACTATATTAATTATGGTTGGTTAAGCCGTGTAGTAATTATGATTACTTTGGTTATTGCACATAAAGCATCCCTTGGCTTGTAAATTAAAAAAAAATTAATAAAATTACTTATTAGTAAATAAAATGAATGAATGGAAATGACCCTATCCGCGTATTGAATACCTGCTTGTTGAGATTGACAAACCCGAATTTTTAGCACAACTGTTTCTTAAGTTTTTTAAAACTGTATAAGTGCAACAATTGTGCTTCGTACTTAACTTAAGGTCTTACCTTGCTGCTCTGCGTCCTGTGAGAGCGGTGCTTCTTCTTGTGATGCTGACTTCTTTGAGACATCCCACTCTGCAAAAGAAGAGACTTTTACTAAACTCGGTCAGCTTCAACCAGGAGAACCAAAAGCTTTCGTGCAAGTACCTTACCTGTCCACCACCCAGTAGTAACACCGTAAACTAAGCAAGTCTCAAGCAGTATTTACCTTAACCTTTGGCAAAGAATTTGACTGTGGTTTTACCTCTCATTGATCCCCAATTGAAATAATCGTACAAATCCGCTCCTCCATTCTCGTCTGATATTTCCTCAACGTCAGTATGGTTGTGGTAGAAGGAACCTCCTTTCAAATACATGATTTCATTAGGAGAATTCCAGTCCAGCTTCTGAGTAGTTTCTATGTGAACCTTTGAAGATCTTTGCTGATCTAAATGTTTAGAAAATTCACTTGGAACTTCCACCTCAGTGTAAGCATCTTCATCAGCTGATGCTACAAGATCTTCCACATCAGTGAGATTAGGGCTTGTTGTAAGAACTTTCGCTTTTACAACATTAATGCGATTTTTAGTAGTAGAACTGCTGTTAGAATCTCTTGAAGAAATAGTGGTACCGTTTGCTTCTTTTATGTAATACGGAGTTAACGAGCGCTCACTAACATCGTAAACAACATTCTGTCTTTTCAGTGGTGACTTGTTGGAATCACTGAGATAAAAGTCTTCAGTGTCGGTCACAGCAGATTCTTTTAGAGAAACTACGTGCAAGGATTTGTTTTTAGTCTTTTTGGATCGTCTTGGGCCAACATCAATTGCTAAATCTTCAGTGTCCGTCAGTACCTCTGTGTCTTTTTTAGGTAAATTAAGCTTGTTTTCTCCGTAATGGACACTAGTACTATCGTAGAACTTAATATCGGGAGTAGGTCCCCGTTCATATTCGTCAACGTTCAATAAACCGTCGTCTGGAAGAAATTCTACATCGGTAAGACCGTCAGCGTATTCATCATTGCTCAAACTATATTTGACTGTATCATCCAGTGGTTGTATCTTTGTTGTTGGTACTAGAGATTTATTTTCGCTTAATAGTACGACAGTGCGAACTGGAGGTGGCAACACGACTTCTATAATATCAAATTCTGTTTGCTCGTCTTCTATTGAGTCAGTGTCTGTCTCTGTGGTCGTGGAATTTTCTTTCACAGACGCAGTTTCGTCATCGTCACTCTTTTTTTGGATAGTTGCTTTAACGTTTTTCATGTCGGTTAAAATAGCCACAGTTTTGTTTTGTTTTTGATGAGATTGCGTTTTCAAGAAGACTTCGTCTTCCATCTCGCCATCGGATTCGAAACCGGCCCAACTATTCTGTTGCTTTAAACAAGTAGGATGCGATAGAGACTTTTTCATCCCAGAATAACACTTATCCATATCAAAAGTACCCCCACTTTCTTTATTTTTATGACAACCCTTAAATTTTCTCCTTTTCGTTTTTGATTTTTTTATCAATGACGCTTTTTCATTGTCAGAAGGAATAGATTCAACGTCTGTCAGTTCACTCGCGTCCAATACAGGACACTCAAGATTCTGACTTTGTTGTTGCTTCAAGTCAGTGGAAATGTTAGTGTAATTAGAATGGTAGTCATCGAAGCTGATATTTGCATCTGGAACATCATCAAAATCAAGCTCATTTTCCGTATCTATGTCGTCAACATCAGTCACACCCTCATCTAGAGATAAATTTAACAAACTGTCACTCTTGATTTTGCAACTTTGAGACAGGTTGCCGAAAGTTCCGGCAACACTTTCTTCAAAGTTAGAAGCATCCAGATGCAAATCGTCAACCGAAACAGTTTGAATTTTTTCATCGCTATCTATATCCGAAGCATCTAGATCCTCTACGTCTGTCGTGAGGCCACTATCTTTAATTTTGATTTTCAAGTGAGACTTGACTGGGTTCAAATTTAATTCGTCTAAATCTTCTACATCGGTTAAGGTCTCGCAAATATTGTTCGTCGATGAAGCCCATTCGTTAGATTCTGAGGTTATGGCAATTTGAGGTATAGTGAAATTATCTGACATTTTACTCGTCGTTGACTTCCTCGAAAATTATAGATAGGTAACTGTCGGACTTTGACAGTTTTTCGTAGAAAAGATACTCCTTCAGATCGAGATAATCTCTCTGGATGATAGTCTCCTGCATAAAAAAACAATCGTCAGTCATTACTGCCGCCCTAGAACATCATGTGTCCCTTGTTTGCCGCAATACTTACCGTTAAACCGTCTTTAGTGAACATAGTCTTATTCTTATTCTATAAGCTACACTAAATAAGTACTAGTTTGGGCATTTTCGCAAGCAATAAAAAAAACTAAAAATGCGACTAAACTGAAAGGTTTTATACCTCTTTACGTGTCTCTATTCGGAAAGCCATGCTGTGGGATGACATCGCTTTAGTGTCAGGCAACACAAAAGTCGCGGTACCTGATCTTGTATCATCCTCATCGTCTCTTTCCTCATAATCAAACTGATACTTGATCCTCGACGGTGATACAACTCTTACATCCAGTATAGGTGAGAGCCTCTCTTCAGCACTCGGACCCATTTCTTGGTACTGAGACATAACCAACTGTCTAGGGATGGCGCAAATGTCTTCCTCAACAATCTCTGCGCAAGGGATGATGTCTGATATACGATGGTCTGATTCGTGGATGGACTCTAGAGACTTTCGTTTCCTCGGGGATGTCGGAGATACCGACCGAAAACGGCCATTGGCATCCGAACTTACATCGTGGTCGGAAGGGGAACTGGGTAAAGCGACGGATTCAGAAAGACTGGAATCAGTAGTGTCGATCAACGACACTTCTGTCTCGTTTTTTAAAGCACTTGCAAGTTTTCGAAGGTTTTCGTAAGGTTGTCGATAAATCACTTCGATAGACCCTGTATAGTTCTGTGTCCTGGTAAACACTTCAGAAGTCATCACTTTGGTACCATTAGCGGAACGTACCCGAACGGGACTTCCTGGAAGAGACGTGGGACTCACGCTTTTGCTCTCCTTTGCAATCATCTCTTGACAACTTGAAGGTATCACAGATTGACTTCGAATACGATCCGAAAATTGAACAACCTTTTCGGGCTCAATCACGTCCGGAATTTTATCTCTTTCCTTCTTTGCCTGGTCGATTATGACTGCTCGCTTGAGCTTAGTTGGAGAAGCACTGGGCTTAGGGCTATCTCGTACGAATATAACCTCACTTTTTTGTAAGGTTCTGGTTTTGCTTTCAGAATGGCTCATTTTAATAGTCTTAGATTTAGCTTCGGCATATTTATTGCTATCAATCGGTGCAGTCTTCGGTTCTTTCTTTCTGGGCGACTTGGGTGGGGTTTCTTCGGGTTTTTTCGTTTTGCTTTTCACTGGCGTCCCTTCTTTCGAACTGACCACCTTCCGTTCTGACGAAATTGTAGTACGTTGATATGTATGTCTTTGCGCGTAGGTGCTTTCAATTCTACGAGTTTCAGTTCTAGATTTCAAACTACTTTTCAAATTTTCGTTAAAGCGATCCATTTCTTTTTTATTCTTTGCACCTCTTTGCACAGTCTTTTCTTTCTCCTTAACTTGTCTGTCAATTTTCATGTCACGTGATACAGTTGACTGCATGTAACCGTGTACTCGCGTGTCGTACTTGCGGACGGTACGAACCGGAGTCGTTTCTGATTCTTTCTGCATTCTCGATTTGCTTTTCAAATAAGCATGCGTAGTTCTAGATTCTGTAGTTGTGCTTGAGGGCCTCACAAGTTTTGGTATGCCCGAAGTTTGTGGCTTCTTTGACGTCGTTGTCGTTCTAGTGAGTCTCGTCTTGTGCACAAATTTATCATCATCGGAACTCACGTCTGCGTCGCTTTCGGCCTTAAAAGATCTGAGTTTAGGGCTCGCTTTAGTAATTTTCTTTTTGGGTTTGGGTACTTTCGTTATTTCGCCGGTTTTCGACTTCACCTTTTCTTTGGCCTTAGACTTGCGTTCGTCTATCAAAATTTCTGGTGTATCCTTGCGATAATCACTGTCCCCGGCTTCAAAACCGTTCTGTAAAGTTACTTCTATTATATCATCTGTCATCACAACAATGGGTTCTGTTTCAATTTGAGGTACTTCCGGTATAGAAGACGGGTATGAATCACTTCTAGCCCTTGTGGTGTCATGGAGCGAGCTAGTGTCAATTCTCATTGAAGAATCGGTTTCAGAAAATATCAATTCGGCATCGGTTTCAGATAATTTCGTGGAATCACTGTGTAAACCTGAACTTAAGTAAGAAACTTCGTCGGAGGTAATATAATCGTCAATCGTGGTACTGTCGTGAGTGAAATCGACTTTTTTGTGAAAAGAAGATAAATATGTACTATCGTAATCTAGCTGACTAGTGGCAGTCATAGCAGTAGCTTCTAATTTACTATCAGAAATAAGGGGTTTAGGAATCATTCGCTCTACTTCCAAATATTCAGTACCTTTTTGGGTGGACTCCGTTGGCGCAGTAGGAACTTCCGTTACTGTTGAGGTAGAGTCAAATACTTTTGATATGGAAGATAATTCTTTTTGCATTATAATTGATTTCTGTCCTATAAATGAAGAAAGATTTGATGATTCTGAGTCCGTATCTACTATGGAAGCTCTAGATGAAGATAACGTTTCGAGTTGTACTTTTTCATCCGGAAGAGTTGGAGATATAAAATCTGATTTTGAAAGAGGTTCAGGAACATCTTTTACGGAATAAACTTTACTCATTGACTGTTTATCAATAATAGCTGTAGACATTTCTTGTAAATATGTTTGCGTAGAAGTTCTAGTTGATGACAAATCAAAATATTCTTCATCGTGCAGTTCCTTCTCACTTAATTGTACTATTCTCGACATTTTTGATTCGTGTTCACTAAGTGCATCCGACACAAACCCTTCATCGGTGTCATATTGCTTTTTGAGAGCCAAAATTTTTCCAGCACCCTCTAACCGTGCTACTACACTTCTTTTCTCAAATGCTGAATCTATACCGCTCAATTTAGTTTCTTTTGAATGAATTTCTTCAAATTCCTTGGTTGTATCA